TCACTCACATATGAAGAAACACATCGAGAGCAAAATTGAATGGGAAACGTGCAAAAAACGAAACTGAGTGCCAATCGCTGACGGGGATTGAGCCCGACGTGGGGGTCGAACCCACAACCTTGAGATTAAGAGTCTCACGCTCTACCGATTGAGCTAGCCGGGCGACTGAACCCAGCTTGTTTGGTGTTGTCGGTGGAGGCAGAGGAGTGCGTTAAGACGGGTTGGTGCCAGGTAGGCCAAGCACCGGTTAGTTAGGCTGGTCCACTGGCTTCAGCGGGTCTCTTAGGGCGGGTTATGTGAATCTGGCAGTGATGAGTGACGACATTTGTCTTTCTGTGGTTGCTTGTCTCGGCAAATGGGGCTTTGAGAACATGTGGCTGGTACTGGAAGTGTTGTAAAAGTTGATCTTGGGTGGTTGTCTCTGGCTCGGGTATCGGTTGAAAGTTCTCGTGGGTTTGGTGAGACTAACACGTCTCGGATGGTCATTTCCGTTCTCGTTCGCCGGATTGTAGGTGAAATCAAGGGTAAGGCGCCTTCCGTCAGTGTTCAGACTACAGGTAATCATCTCTCTGACTGAATAGCCCATGGTCTTTCTCGGGTGACATCGACGTCATGCGCGGATGTCATGAGCGACGAGCTCAAATTTCAAGCACGAATCTTACCGATGTTAGTTCACGAGCCACCATTCTTCCATACTCGAGAGATGGATGAATCATTCCTTCAGATGAACGTCAGATGTAAGCCGGTATGTGGAGAGTTCGCCTGTGAGGGTACGTTAAGCAGTGAACACGAAGCCATGAATGAATGCCGGCTGAAGTGAGGAAGAATTCAAAAGGTGAGAGCGGTGACGCTGGTGGGTTATCCGGTCGGGTACACTTTCCCAAGCTGAATGAATGATACCGTCAATGGAGACTTCGGTGGTGTAGTTCTACTGAATTGTGATGGTTGACAACACCGCCACATTACCTCTGCGGAGGTTTCATACCGTGTTTGCTTAGAATAGCCAGATAAAATCACGTCTTCGTCATTCTAAACACGTAAATGCTGGGCACGGTCAGATGTTGATCAAATTGCACCAGTACTCAAGCACTAGCCGGTGTACTCGCAGCTTCTGTATTCTGTGTTGGTAAGGGGTCGCACTTGGCTTTCCTTGCTGTTACGATGGTCAGTAAAGCAGCTGATACTCCTTCTTGTGTTGGTCCTACTTTCTCATAAGAGACCATGCGGTCGCAGCTTTTGCTGTAACGTGACCCGGAATGCTCAAGAGATGTCATGGTGAAACTAGTAACAAGAGTGTGCGTCATGGTCTGGCTCGTTACGGAGGTACCGCTCAGAGTTTTGTTGCAGTAAGGCCATTTTGACGATGTGATTTCAGTAACACTGTTGATGAGACAGTGTCATATGTAGAACCAGAACACTGTTAGGATGGTCTGTAGCCCGAATAGAACGGCCATCTCAGAGTAAGGCCAATGCTCCACAGAAATCTGAGCTCAACAGTGAACACTTACAGGCTTTGGGTGGTATTTCGTGCTCTGAAAGGTGTGCACGTGGCATGCCTGGTGCCAGGCAATAGGCAGACTCAAGCCACAGCAGTCATGCTCTACGCTATCTTGCTCTACGCCATCTTGCTCCGAAAATCTTGTCGTGCCCGGCAACATGTCGCTTTTGAAAAGCTGTCAAACCTCGAGACCGAGCACGAAAACACTTGTGTGCTCGAGTACGAGGGTCGTCATGGATTGTGTCCGTCGTAGGGAGTAATACTCAGTAAACGCCCCCGACGCCGTAGCACCAGCGACAACGCCCGTTAATCGCAGAACTAGTTGTGATGTCAAGCGAAGACTTGTAATGATCAGATATAATACTCGGCTATTGAATGTGTCAGTGTCTGTGTCATTCGTGGTTTGCCTCAATCAGCAACACGCGATACACTCGATCTTGTGAGCATATTGAATGAAGTAAATATGGTCCGAGACGAGCTCAAGCTATCGATCAGCTTCGGTATCATGTTGCTGTTCAGATTTCGATATCTCTTGATCTTGGAGACCCAAGCTGGGCGCTGAAGCCTGTCGTTGGGCGTAGATACGAGATTCCAGGAGAACCGGAGATGCAAAGTACGATCCACTTGTTCGGTCACGATAGTAATCGTACGGGTTCAGATGCGTGCTGTGGCGACATTTTGCGCGTCTCGCCCATGCCAAGTCTCCGGACCTGTCTCGATGATTTCCAGGCCGTAAGAATGACAGCTGATAGTGCGGATATTCTTTGGATGAGTTTGCACGATCGAATGATGCGTTCTAGCGTCGGCGCTGGTGCCCAGACCTATTGTTCCGGTCGTGACAAGGCCACTGTTTCTTGGTCCTATGCCAAGACATGCCAGAAACGCAGGCAACGAAATCGACTGAAGCGCTGTAGGCCCCCCGGAATGCACCACTCATCCGCGCCAGAGGATAAGGGCGGGCCGCTGCAAGAAGGCCCTGGCAGACTTGTGCAATCCATGACCAGGGGAAGCCAGAAATCTCTTTCAGGGCCTTATCGGAAGCCCCAAAGGCTTCTTTTCTAGTGTCGAAGGCCCAGGCCTACAAATAATTGTCATTCCCGTCGCGAAGGCAGCTTGGAATACTAGCTCGAGTGCCCAGGCTACTCTGGCAACCCAAAGTCTGGTAAACAGCTCTCATCTCAAATACCAACTGATAGCCATGGACGTTAAAGATAAGTCGGATGGCGCTTGGGCCATCATCTGGTGTTGAAAGTTGCGGCTGTCTTGTCGTTATCTCTGATGAAGCATCTCCGCGGAGCATGACTTACACGTGCGAAATGGCGAAAAGGGTCCGCAACGCCGCGTTAGGGTGGAGGTTGGAAACGACAATCTGAAAGCCTGCAACTGATAACGGGTCTGGTGGATGTATCGATGACGGCCATCCGGATCAATTCTTCTGTTCTTTTGCACTGCTGTTGATGTCAAGACAACACGGCTTGGGACGAGAGATGTGGTCGGATGGCAGAGAAAGTCTAGACCCCGTCACGGCACGGGTCCGGGAGGCCGGGGATGCACGCGGCGACGGGAGGGGAAACACCTGGACCAGACAAGCGGGTCATTAGCGTGGGGGCAGAGTGATGACATAAGCCGTGAGCAGACTTTCTTGCGAACAGTGGGTGTTCTCTGCGGCCAGGGGTCTCCTTGGCTCCGCTATCTGTATCTTATCTCGACCGACTCCCTAATTGCAGTCCAAAGACTCGGTCACCCCAATTTTCGTCCACCTCATTGCGAGTCTAGCTCGGGGTCCTCTCTGGGGCATGACGGCATCCAGAAAGGGGGAAGCTGAAAGGGACCGCAGCATTGCCCAATCGCAGGCCGTCCAATTACACGGAAGTCGGACCGGGAGACGGTACACGGCAGTTGATGCAGGATCAGCATGAAATCTTTGCCAATCTTCTGCGACAATAGAGCATGACGAGAGATTCCTTTTCGTACTACATCAGGCGTATGATATATTCATGAGAAGATAGGACAGAAGCGTCTGTTGCCAAGCCTGATGTATTTTAGGTCAAGCTGCCAATCGTTAAAGCACCAGCGTCTTTGTCACCGTCCGGCCAACTATTGGTCTAGATTGTAGGGAGGCTAAGCCAGTGCTTGAAAGTTTATCATCGTCGCCAAGGACCCCACTAGACAAGTTCCTCTCTTTCTCACTCACTTTAGCTTGGCCTACCTACAGACAGTCATCGTAATCATGGAAGCATCATTCGGCCCAACTCTCATCTGTCCCTAGACACATGCCACGACGAAAGGTCCGCGGAGATCGACACCAAAGGTTTAAGCACTCGCCAGTCAGCTATCAGAGTCACTTCCTTATCTCTTGGATGCCAGGGGTGGGGCCTGGCTCACCCGTCCCGACCGCATCTTGAGCGCCTCTCGAGAGCCTCCAGAGATAAGCAATAAGCTCGTAAGATTCCGTTTGGCTCAATTGCTCCCAGTCCCTTGAGGTCTTGTCCAATCATTTCTCCTGGAAAGCACTCTACTGACCACCCCGGACAGGCAAAGGCTGTATCCGTCAAGACAAGGCGTGAACCTAGTGCCGGACTCTCTTGCTTGGCCCGTGGGCTCTCTCATTCGAGCCTTCGTTATCTTGATGCATAGACTTGCTGCAATATTCTCTGCATAGCCCACAGCGTTGTTACCTCAGGGAGACAGCGCGTCATCTGGCTGAGGGGAAAATCCGGGGAAGAGCTCGTCTGGACCAGGCTCGAAATTGGCAGCTTCCTCAGCTTGACATCCCGTTTTTGGCTTCCGAAGACGTCAGCTTGCTGTGTTCCGAGACAAGATCTTTCTTCTACACAGCCTGATATTGAAGAGTGCCGCTATTTGGACCTCGACTTCGATTTCCACGACTGATCGGATCGAAATATCGTGCAAACCCAGCACTTTGGCTTGAGAAACCATCCCAGCGCCTCAGACTACCTACATTAAAGCAAAGAATTTGACATTTCCGCTCTCTTCCCGGCAAGAAAGTCTTATCAGAGAGATCGACGAGTGAGCCCGCTCTTAAGGCTCCCACGCCGCTGGTCCATTCTGGCTCTTAGGCTTGGCCCGCCTCCCGTCCCATCGACACACCTCCATCAAACTCTTTTTCACACCCCCATATCCCCTGCACATCCACAGACACAGAGAGCAAGGGAGCGTTCGCGGCAGACGTCCATTGGGACTAGCGTGGTGTCTCTCCGGAGATGCTTCAACCGCCTCCTCTCTGCTGAACACTATGCTACACAAATGAGGACGACCATATAAATCCAGGACAATCTCCGGCCGAATACATGATCTGTTTACCTGTATTCAAGCACTCAACGACAGTGACACGATAACAGTCCACGACAGGGTAACCTTGAGGCACCAAGCGCCTGGATTTCAGCTCAAAGCCAGCCCGCTTACACGAAAAAGAAGGACTTTGCCCAAGACCCCACGTCATACCACGTCGACTCCGGACGGATCGACCGAATCTCTCACCATGGAACTTTCCATTCTCTGGAGGGCACCTGAGGTGAACCCCATCAACCGCAAAGCCCGCAGTATCCCGGTCTTCAACATCTTCAATGTATACGCACGCGCCTTTCACTTCTCGTGGCTTGGCTTCATGATTGCCGTGAGTAGACTAACAGGCCGAGACCCCTAACTTGATTGCCGTATGCTAATACACACCCGCTTCCAGTTCTGGGCCTGGTACACCTTCCCGCCCCTCCTCACAGTCACCATCAAGAAGGACCTCAACCTGACTACTGCCCAAGTCGCCAACTCAAACATCGTCTCCCTGGTCGCAACACTCTTCATGCGCCTCATTGCCGGCCCCGCGTGCGACCGCTTTGGCTCCCGCATCGTCTTCGGCTCCCTCCTGCTCATCGGCAGCATCCCCATCGGCCTCGCCCCCCTCGTCAAGGACGCCACGGGCCTCTACATCAGCCGCTTCTTCATCGGCGTCCTCGGCGCCACCTTCGTCCCCTGCCAGGTCTGGTGCACCGGCTTCTTCGATAAAAACGTCGTCGGCACCGCCAACGCCCTGGCAGGCGGCTGGGGCAACGCCGGCGGCGGCATCACGTACTTCGTCATGCCCGCCGTCTACGACTCCTTCGTCCACGCGCGGGGCTACTCCCCCGGCCAGGCGTGGCGCCTCACCTTCATCGTCCCCGTCATCTGCCTCCTCGCCTGCGGCCTGGGCCTCCTCCTCCTATGCGAGGACACACCCACCGGGAAGTGGGCTGACCGCCACCTGCACGCCCAGGAGAACCTGCAGTCCCACGGCGTCGTCGACGCGATCCCTGACGTGGTTGACGTTCCCGGCGGCATCGCAGACCGCAAGGAAACGGCGGCGGGCTCGATGGTTTCCGACGAGGAGAAGCGCAGCAACCACAGCAGCAACAAGAACGGGCAGCACGGCGTCCTCGGCGACCACGAGGTGCGCCTCTCCCGCGACGAGATGGTCGAGACCGCCCGCGGCGACACGGTCGTCAACCCCACCTTCAAAGAAGCAATGTCCGTCGTCCTCTCCCCGCAGACAATCTTCCACATCGCCACCTACGGCTGCTCCTTCGGCGGCGAGCTGGCCGTCAACGCCGTCCTCTCCTCCTACTACCTCAAGAACTTCCCCGCGCTCGGCCAGACCGGCGCCAGCAACTGGGCCGCCATGTTCGGCTTCCTCAACGTGATCACCCGCCCGGCCGGCGGCGTCGTCTCGGACCTGCTCTACCGCTACGGCGGCCAGAACCTCTGGCTCAAGAAAGCGTGGATCACCGTCTGCGGCGTGCTCACCGGCGCGCTGCTGCTGCTCATCGGCCTGCTGAACCCGCACGACGAGGCGACCATGTTCGGGCTCATCTTCCTGATGGCCGTCTTCCACGAGGCCGGCAACGGCGCCAACTTTGGCTTGATCCCCCACGTCCACGGCTACGCGAACGGTATCGTGAGCGGTGTCACGGGCGCCGGCGGCAACCTCGGTGGCGTTATCTTCGCCATCATCTTCCGCTTCATGGACAACGGCACCAACTACGCAAAGGGGTTCTGGGTCATTGGGTGCATCCACATCGGGGTCAACCTGTTGGTCTCGTGGATCCATCCCCTGCCGAAGAGTCAGCGGCACTGAAGATAGTCTGGGATGACGCAAGGCTCAATTTTCTGTATTGCTATGTAATGAAATGATTCCGGGATGGACGATATAAACGATAGAGTGGCTTACAGGGACCAAAAAAGGGTTATGCTCGGAGTAGGGGGTTGGAAATTATGATATCCATGGGCTAGTTTCAATGTTAGCAAGTTACAATTCAGAGCGATCAAGGCTTTGCGTATTCTACCCTGTTGCAAAGTGACAAAGTGCGCGAGCATCTCGAAAACCTAGAGAAACTTACAGTATCCTCCTCCAATGTTCTGACCAATGCTGGAGAATCGGGCCCAACGCCTCCACCGGGTTCGATGCCTAAGGGGTTGCAATATCTTCAGCGCTTGATTGTTTTTATTTGCTCTAAATTCAGTTCGTAAGGGATCTCTGCCTATCTCCCCACCGAGGCAATTGCGCATCCGCAAAACCATCTGGTCTTGGTATCATCTCTCCTTTTTTGTCATGGAAATCTCATCCCGCCCGCGTCCAGATTCCATCATCTCCACCATCACAGCCTGCTGTCCTCCCGCACGCTTCACAAGTCGAAAAGCTCCTTGACGATGCGCATGGTCTCCTCGGGGCCGCTGACGGCGTGTCCGATGGTGCGGTCGTCGGTGTAGATCTCGTAGTCGTTGCCGCCCTCGTGCGTCTTGTCGCCAAAGAAGTGGATCGTGTCGTAGGTGATGCCGCCCTCCTTCTTGGCCTCGCTCTCAAGGTGGCGCAAGCAGTACGTCTTGTCCCAGCCGGTGGGGAACACATCAAAAGAGATCATGCCGCCGATGGAGAAGGTGAGGCCGAGGTGGCCAAACTTCTCGCGCAGCTTGGCGACGAAGTCGCGGCGGACGTTGTGGATCTTGTCGTAGTCCTCGAAGGCCTTGCGCTCGTCGTTGGAGGCGTTACGGCCGACGGGGGAGATGTTGACCATGCCGTTGCGGAACTCGATGAAGGTGCCGCGCTTGACGGGGATGTCGAGGTCGGCGATGTGGTGGAGGGCGAAGCGGACGAGCTCCTTGTAGTTGTCCTCGCCAATGTACTCGATGAAGCTGTTGGAGGGCAGCGGCTGGCCCAGTTTGAAGGCCGTCAGGCCGTTCTCGGAGAAGCAGAAGTCGAAGAGGGTGGTGACCGGGGTCTGGGCGTCGCCGAGCTGCTCCTGCTGCTTGTTGAAGTCGGAGCCGCCCACATAGCCGATGGCGCACTTCTGGCGGAGGCGAGCGAGGAGGTCGAGCATCTCGGGGGTGGCATGCTGGTTTGAAGGTCAGGGTTAGAGGGTTTGGAGGGGGAAAGGGGGAAGGGCAGAGCTTACGCGACGGGCGGGAGTGAGGGTCTCGTCGACGTCGAAGAGGCAGATGGTCGTCTTGAGGGGACGCTCCTCGAGAGGGGGGTAGGTAGCCATTGCAACGGTGGGTGATGGGTGGTGAAATGTGTTGTGAAGCTCGAGCTTGCCGTTTGTGACACCGCAGAAGTCTGGGAAGGATCTACCTATGCTAGCAAGAGATAATTGTAGAGGGCGGTCAGAAGCAAAGGGGTTGAGATTGGAGCTTCCTTTCGGGATGTGGATGGGTATGCGCGGGGTCGACTTTCAGATGGCGGGGCAGGGGTAAGGTCACAGGCAGGTGCAGTGCTGTGGTGGGTGCGTTTTCAGGGTCTGGAGTGGTCTTCCTTGGGTGGGTGGGTAGGTGCTTAGAGGTGATTGGTGCTTTGAGCTCAGGGAACCAAGAAATCCCCCGGGTGGTGAATTGGGTTTGGGGAATGTTTAAATACATCTTGTTCACAGAGTTCTCTTTCAAAGCTGAACACTGGAGTTAATGGTGTGATTGCACTATTGGTAAGCAATTAGACGATGGACATGTTCTCAAGTTGACAGATTTCGGTCTTTGGCGAGCTTCGGGGTGATCTGTCCTTGTCTTCGAGGTTGTGTTCTGGACAGCTTGGCCATAAGTGAGGGATTGGCATCGAAACGAGATGAGTATGCTCGACTGGACCCAAGCTGGACGTTGTTTTGAAACTTGATGTACGCAAGATGGGGTGGCAGTGCAAGTGCTTGCGATTGGCGATGACGATGGTCTCTGTTCGGGTTTACCCAACACGGAAGACTAATAAGAAACCAAAGCCAGGAACGTGTTCACAAGGGCACGAAATAGTGTGAGGTTTAGACATCGTGGCCTGAAGCTAGGTAGGTGAGGTGCTCATGCCAGACAGCGAGTGACAAGTTTTAGCGGCCGCTTTACCGCAGGGGAGAACGGATGACTGACACCCTGGCTATGGAGGCTGTAGCGCGCTAGGTAAGGTACCGGTCAGTTCCGTGTTGCCATGCCGTGCGGTGCAAAAAGGAGTGTGGACTATTCTGCCCCAGTGACAGTTCTCACCTGGTTTTCTTTTTACTCATTGCTCGAAAAACACCACAAAAATATGTGATAACACTTCTCAACTCAAAGAAATAGATCCATTCTCCGTTCCTGACTACTTGTCCTGTAGGCCAATTCATTACCGTACCTTCATCTCGCAAGAAAGGTAACCACGAAAAACCAGGCAGTCTCTGAACAAAATTTGAGTATCAAAACGGAAAGTTTTGGTGAAGCTGGGCTATCGTATGGGTATTAGGCATGTTCTGCTTAATGTCGAACCTGCGCTCAAATTTCCGCCACTTGGTTGCCTCGGCCGGTGATGCCATCAGCCACACAGCGAAAGACGATCCATTACCAAGAATCATTCCTAAAGATGGGGAAATCTTGCAAGGTTCACGGCATGCCTGCTGAGCTGCCTCATTGCAGCCACCTTGTGGCTCTGCACACGAGACATAGGACGTAGATCAATCCCTGCACACAGATCTGCAGCAAGGTTCCGTATTCATGATGTCTTCAGGCAGGAGATGAGAGCCTCTGGGGAGTCATCAATATACTGATCACATGGTGGAAGATATGACTTTGAATTCATCGTGCCAAGAACCCATCCCAAATCAACGCCTGCAAAGCCACCCCGAAGAAACCAAGCCACCTTAGGACCCATGGACCAATCAAGAAAAAAAAGCAAAGCCGACGTTATCTACACTTGCCCAGGCCCCCTCGTTCAGGAAGCCGGCGCCCCAGCCTTGAGCATCTCCATCTCAGGCAGCGTGAAGCCGTTGCCGAGGTACGCAAAACGGTTCTGCCTGGCGTTCTCGTATGTGTAAACCCAGTCCTCGCCCCTGAAGTGTTCCAGCATGCGGATGAAGTGCATCCTGCTCCCCGGGTGCAGGCCCGTCACGGGGGCGTTCACCTCGCCCTGTTTGTACCAGGATCTGCACCCGCCCGTGAATGCCGTGCGAGGCATGAATGCGGCGGTGTGCTCGAAATAGTCCTCGACGGCCGCCTCCGATGGGGTGATGGACCGGATGCTTTCCGTCTGGCACTTGCGTATCGTGTTGGCGATGTAGGTGGCGAAGTGCTCGCTAAGTGTAAAAACATCACCATGGGCGATGGGTGCGTTGGGACCAAGGAACTCTGAGGCTGCTGTTAGAAAAGGGCTCCATATATGCGGAGTGGAGTTCAGCTCACTGAAGTAATTGGGCAGGCCGGCAACGGCGAGGGACATGTACGCCTTGGGTGTCTGCTCGGCCCAGATGTCCTGCAAGTTTCCGTTCCGGCCGGTGAGAGGAAACGAGGGGCGGAACGAAGAGTCGAAGCCAGTGGCACAGATGATGGCATCAACTTCGAGGACTTGTCCGTTATTCAGCTCGATTCCGTTGGCTACAAACCTCTTGATAGCATCCGTGTGAAGAGAAACCTTAGGGTCGTGGAAAGATTCGAGATACCCGGGTGCAGGAGTAAGCCTCTTACAACCCAGCGCGAAGTCGGGGATGAGCTGTTTGCAGAGCTTCTCGTCACCCTTGAGCATCGCCATCATGAACTCTTTCGTCTTGCCCAAAGCCCACTTCTGCTGGGGACTGCCTGCCACGAGTGCTACCGCGAACTTGATGTTGGAGTCGGTTTCCAGAGTCTTTGCAAACTTCTGGTAGAATTCCGGGTCGTTCTTGAACCGCTCAATCTGCGCTGGCGAGAAGCGTTCTTCTTCGTCCATCTCAATCTGCTGCATCAAAGGGGCAGAAGGGCCCATCTTCATGGTTGCCACCCGTGGTGGGATGATCAAAGTGGGCGTCCGAATGATGTGATGGAGCTCCTTTACATCTGCATCTAGGTGAGCCCAGTGTAACGCCTGGAAAGATGAGCTGGTAATACTTACGAGGGCGAATGGCTGGCACTATCTGCACACCGGACGCTCCGTTACCGATCACAGCGACCTTCTTGCCTGCGTAGTCAAACTTCTTCGGCCAGTTTGCGCTGTGGATGAGGGTGCCCTGGTAGTCTGAGATGCCTTCCACGTCTGGGAATTTCCACTTGCTGCTCGGGTCAGGATCCGCAAGTCATCACTGTGGGGGAGAGTAACATACTTGAGAATCCCTGTCGCATCGATGATGAAGTTGGCATGGTCGGTGATGATAGCTCCTGTTTCCAGGTCCTTGATCTGCACTTCCCAAACGGCCTTCGACTCCGACCACGATGCGGCAACGATCTGGTGCGACGTCTTGATGTATGGGCTCATGTTCTCATCGTCACATATCCGGCACAAGTATTCCTCAATCTCAGCTGCGGGTGCGAAGAAACTCGACCACGCAGGGTTAGGCCTCCAGGAAAACTGGTAGTTGTGGCTGGGCACATCGCACTTGCAACCCGGGTAGCGGTTCTCGAACCACGTACCTCCGACGTCCGCATTCTTCTCGTAAATCACAAGTTCGTATGTCGAGGGGTCGAGTGTGTTTCTGAGAGTGCGGATCATGTTGATTCCGCTGGCTCCGGCACCGATGCCGATGATGCGGATTGGGCGCGGCGTTCCGAACGGCGCTTCGCGCACCGAGTAGGCGGTGTTGCTGCGGACCGACTGGCCGGAGCCGCTGCCATGGCCGTCAACATGCCGTGAGAGTTGGGGGATGAGTTGGCGTGTCATTGTCGGTGTCGTTGAGTTGGAGATGGCTGGGTGAGCAATGAGAGAAGGAGTAGATGGTTTATATCCCAACCTCAAGCAAGAGGCCTATGCCGAGGAAGGCACGGCCAAGGCTTTGCAAGAGCTTCCTTATCAAGCAAGGTGCAATCCCGTTGAGTGTTTGGTGGGGTTACGGAGGAGAGCGTAGGCAGAGGCAGTGACTAGGAAAGCAAGGCCGTTTGACAGGCTTGGTGCATTCATTGGTTTGTACGGAGAGCAGCCAATAAAGGCACAGGAGTCCATGGAAGAAGCAAAATATGGGATGAGACAGGCGATGATGACAACGGAGGGAAGAAGAAACGAGAATCCATTGACATGGATAGGCCCTGAGAGACATCGCCCGGTTCAGCAAGGCAAGGACGGGTAAAGTCTGTCTGAGGAGAGCAGCTGGGTCAACTAACACCACGACCACACCACACGACTTTGGCCACCACCGCACACAATCAACTAGCGCAAAGAAACTCTCGTCACAGAGCATATTAAGTCAAAGTCAAAAGAGACAACTCACATGAGACAAACCAGTGGAGTTGAGTTCGTCCAATGGATTGGGTCGCCTCAATTGAAGCCATGTTGCGTGGGGTCTCTGAGGAGAGCCACTGTTGGTCGATTTACGAGAAGCAGTTTATCTTTCTTGGCTGGTGGAACGGCATAGCTGTGGCTGCACGTATCCAAAGAGCTTGGAAACAAGGCTGGCCCATGAGGAGAACCGACGGTATGGCTTGCTTGCACGCTTGCTAGTCTTGTTACGGTCGAGCATGGTTTCGATTAGCATAGGGGCCTTCGCTGGATGCAGTCGTAAACTGTCCAACCACGAGGAGAGACCAGGCCGAGGGTCTTTGGGAGCATGGATCCAGTGCGGTGAATGACGAATCAGGACCCTCGCGGTCCTGATGGAGGAGGGAGGTCTGGAGCCGCAGCTGGATCGTGGCAAGTGCCGGGGACCACGGAGCTCAGTGGATGCTTTGCAGAGCCTCCATTGGGAGATGCCCTGGTCCTGCCCCGGAGTCATGACGATAAAGGGCATAAGATTACAGGAACGAATCCTTGATGCCTGTGTCAGCAAACGGCACAGGCCATGGTCACCCAAGTGCCGGCGGAAAAGCGCGGGATATTGTGGTGTCTGGTTGCGCGAATCGGAGGGTAAAGCATCGTGAAAGGGTCGGACCCAGTGTCGATCGGCCGCGTGGACGGGATGCGGTGCGGCGCATCTTTTTGGCGGAGGGAGACTGTCTCCGTCGCGTTTGCTGACCACTGAGACACGAGATCTGGCGGGAAGCACGAAGCACAAGATGCACAAGATCCTCCGGTGTTAAGATGCGCAGGGTTGATATGCGTGGGTGGTGTCTGGCAGACAGCTGCAGCTGAAGCGTGCAGCAAAGACGTGCATGCTCTGCCAAGGATGGGATTGAGGTGCCGCTCGGCATGGGACTTTTCTCTTCTCTGTCTCTCCCGTTGCCCTGCTAGAAGGATGCAGAAAGACACGCGGAGGGTTTAGTTGCGGAGGCACGGGGGCCAATTCCGAATATTGGCCTATCAAGACTGCAGCTGCGCCCCTTTGCCGTCTGGTCCTTGGCCAGCTGGGTCAGTACATAAGCACGGGGGCTGGAGACCGAAAAGGTGAATCCGAACGGACGGGAGAGAGAAAGACATTGTTTCTGGGAAGAGGTTGCTGGGGCCTTGCGCTGCAGAACGCCTCTTGCAAAGGCTTTTGCTCATTGGTTGTTTTGCGATTGGATGTTGGTGTTGGTGTTTGGTGGGTGCAGATGGAGACTGAGGCGATGGCAAATGGGATGCGGTCGTACTGGACCGTTTGTAGGCAATTCGACCAGTGAGCGGTCGATGTCCCGGCCCAAGTGCTGTGTACCGGAAGCACATAAGCACAGCCCGACCTAAGCGAAGTATCGACAGGCCTCAGCTGTCACTTCTACCATCACAAAACCTTCATCCAACTCATCATCGAGACCGATCAGACGTCACTAATTCAAAACCTCCATCATTTCATTTCAGTATGCTGATAAGGCGAATTGCCGCAGGAGATTTCTCCCGGCATTTGCGATGAGCCGTCTTCTCGCCAAGACTATTCACCTTTGTCCGGAATGAGCTACCTGGCTAATGTGAGAGCTCCAGTACGTGGCGTAGCTTGAAGATGCGATTCTTGGGTATGAATTGGCGATGGGTTTTTCAACAACGCCCAGTCGAATCGATCCAGATCCGGAAATCGACAAAGATGGCTATGTTATTTCGCACAATCGCTTTCTTGGCAGTCAAGTCCGTCGGCACTGAAAAAGAGTCCAACGGTAGCCACTGCTTGCTAGGTCCAGGTCGAGAACAATGGGAACACCGCTCTGTTGACAACCCGAACACCATCGTCGCAGTCCTTTCAAGTCTGGGCTCATAGCCACCACGCCACAACCGTCTGGCACCACGCGAGCATCCCGCCATGTGGTTCAAGCCTGACGACGTTGGCAATAGTCCCAAGTTCAAGTGGGTGGTTGTAAGCCATGTGAATCTTGATCAGAATCGCTGCTTGTCGATCACTATGGCTTCCGTTCAGAGTATATAGAGATGATGCTGAGTCTCTCTCACCAGCACGTCCTATGTCAAACCAACAACTCGTTCTTTTCTTCGCTTCCATTCGGTCATTCTTTATAGAAAGCACATTCCCTCCTTTCAACATGCACTCTTTAACCATCCCAGGTATTGTCCTGGCCCTGACTGGGCTGGGCAACGCCGCGACAATCTCGAAACGCGAGCTCTCAATCACTACCAGCCTTCCCACAGGCTTCAAGTACCTCGGCTGCTATACCGATTCTCCTGGTAACCGCCAGCTGGCTCGTGCCAGTTACGTCGACTACAGCCGCATGACGGAGGAATCATGCATCGCGTTCTGTTCGGCCAAGGGCTTCCCATACGCCGGTGTCGAGTACGCTTCCGAGTGCTACTGCGACTATTCCCTGGGGCTCCTAGCCACAAAGCAGCCCGAATCCGATTGCAACTTCGCCTGCACCGGCGACTCGACGGAGCCTTGCGGTGCCGGGGACAGACTCAGTGTCTTCACGACAACCGCTGCCGCCGTCGCCGGTCCCGATGTCAACCCCGGCCCGGCGGGCTGGGCCTCTCTGGGCTGCTATAACGACAACATCCCCGGCCGCATCCTCGCTTACCGCACCGGTGTTGCGGCCGGCGACAGTCTCATGTCGGTCCTACAGTGCACCACCGCCTGCAAAGCCGCCGGATTCTCCTACGCCGGAGTCGAGTACTCTTCGGAGTGCTACTGCGACAACCAGATCCTCAGCACCGCCACCGGTGGCCAGACCGGCTGTAACATGCTCTGCTCGGGCAACGGCACGGAGTACTGCGGCGGAGGGAACTTCATCAACATCTACAAGTCTTCCGCTGCGCCCAAGACAGCGAGCGCCGTGCCCGCGGGCTGGACTGGCCAGGGTTGCCTGAAGGACAATGTTCTCGGCCGCGCTCTCGGCGTTGGCATGGCTGTGGCGGGCGGGCCCGCCAGCATGACGGTCGAAAGCTGTGTCGCTGCGTGTTCCGCCGCCGGATACCAGATTGCTGGTGTCGAGTACTCTCAGGAGTGCTGGTGTGACAACCAGATCCAGAACGGAGGCGTGCTGACTCTTCCGACGGACGGCTGCAACATGCTTTGCAGAGGCAACACGTACGAGACCTGTGGCGGCTCGAACCGCCTCAACATCTACGCGTCTTACAACCTGAATTTGGCCCTGCCCTCTAGCAGTTCCTCATCCACGGTTGCTTCTACTTCGTCTTCGAGCAGTAGGGTCTCCTCTGCTTCCTTGACGTCTGCCACATCCGGCTCGTCTGGGGTATCAAGCCGCTCTAGCACCGCTTCTAGTACTTCCAGCAGCACCTCGCTCACTTCTTCTGCCGTTACAAGCACGCTCTCGACCTTGACCACGCCGCTGACCACCTTTTCCTCGCCCACCACTTCCAGCTCTCCCTTTAGCTTTATTTCCAGCTCTTCTTCTAGCTCTTCTTCCAGCTCTTCTTCCAGCTCCAAGACAAGTTCTGCAAGCTCTTCCTCTAGCCCCGCCTCCACCTCTTCATCCAGTTCCTCGGTGAGTAAATCCAGGCAGAACCCGACATAAAGACGAAGTACCCAATACTAATGCTTCACAGACCGCCTCTACCTCGACCACAGCCACTTCATCTTCCTCCAGCGGCGTCTGCGCCGCTCCCAGCCCAACCAGTGAGTTAACCCGATCCTATCCCTTGACAACTCAAACTGACTTCATTCTAGTTGCAAGTATGTGTTCCGCACCCGCTTGAAGAAAACTTCCGGCTACCATTCCATCGACATACTAACCTGAACCTTCTTCCTAGGCGGCCCGTACGTGAGAAACTCCGGGTGGGACTACGGCACCGGCAACTGGACCATCACCGGGGCCGCTACCGGACGCATCGTCGGCGACGGGTATCAAGTAAGCGGCTGCGGAGCTCTGTAAGTCGCACACAAACGTCCCCACACACAATACTCAATTACCTCCTTACTGACGGCTTTGACATTTTTTCAGCCTCTTCGAGTCCGCCGCAGGAGGTCTCATAGGCCGCTTCACCCAAACACTGACCCTGCCCGCCTCCACCACGACCAAGAGGAGGATCGTCACCGCCTACATCGGCCGCATGAATGAGACGCCGTCCTCCGCCGGGGTGCCGACATTTGGGTTCGCCTGGGACACTTATCCCATCCCGGACGTCTTGGTGTGCGGGTCGACCAACAACCCCTGCAGAAACGTCAACACGCCGCTGGCGAGCTACTCCAAGTACACGTGGACGTTCAACATCGCGGGCGGCACGCACTACATCATGTTTGCCTTCAATTGGCCCAGCGGAAGCAACAAGGCGCCGGTTCTGATTGATGACATTACCGTTGTTGATGCGTAGGATTGAGGGTATTGGTCACGTTGACGAACGACTTTGTAAAAGCAATACATTTTAAGTGAACAACAAGAATGAGGATTCAGAACTTAGAGAGAAGCGTGCAGAGATTGTGACATGGATGCTCATCTCTCAATATTAGTTTGACGTCTCATCCACCCTAATGCCCATCGTCACTAATCTTCTGGGTATGCAAACTGTGGGGTTATAATTGGTATCATGCAACTTGAGTGCACGTATTGAGGACGGCTCCGCCGGGCACTTATTCGAAAGCCTACAAGTGACCTGGGTTTAAGTACTCGCATAGTCCCTAGCCGTGTACAAATATTCAAAGTGCAACATCATCGCCCGGCGAACCTGCAATGAGGCACTGGGAAGGGCAGCGCACCGACGTCGTTGAACCCCGCCCCCACATTTTGATAAGGCAGCTTCTCTTCCCTCGCGACTTTCTTATCGTCGCGAAATTTCCTACAACCCCGCGGCATCCCACCATCCCCCTCCCGAAAAAAAAATGTCTTCATCCTTCTCCTTCGGCTTCGGCGGCGATGACATAGAAGATGACTCCCCTCCCGCCCCGGCCTCCGCGCCCGCCGGCCCGGAGCCCGACAACACCCCGGCGCCGCCCGCGGCGGCCGCGTCGTCGTCATCGTCCGCCTTCCCCGTCCCCGGCAAACCCCAGCTGCCGCCCACCGGCCACGACCTGAAGCACATGCTCGCGCAGCTCCCCTCGAAAGTCGCCTTCAGCACCCTGGACATCGCCCTGGACGACGGCACCGCCATCGCCATCCCCCGCCGCGAGCTGTGGGACGTGCGCGTGCAGCTCATGGCCGAGGACGAGACCGCCGCCGGACCCGCGGCCGAGGGCCTCGGCAGCCACGACGTCAAGACGGGCGTCTACGAGGGCGGGTTCAAGAGCTGGGAGAGCAGCGTCGACCTGGTCAAGGTGCTCGCCAGCGGCGGGTACCTTGATGCGCTGAAGGATCGGCCACTCCGGGTCGTAGAGGTATGAGAGGACTTGCGCCGGTTTAGCGTGGAGTGGCGATCGATGATGATGATGATGATGAGAAAGGGGCTAATGTGATTAATGGCACAGCTTGGTTGCGGCACGGCGCTGCCATCTCTGGCGATCCTGCAGTGGGCGATGAGGTACGCGACGGAGAGGTCGCCGCTGCTGCTTACGCTCGCCGACTACAACCCCTCGGTGCTGCAGCTGGTGACGCTGCCCAACTTCATTCTTGCGTGGGCCCTGGAACGGAGGGACCAGAGCCCGGCCGTGCAGGAGGCGTTCGCGCTGGAGGACGAGCTGGAGCTCACGCCTGAGGTGCTGCAGCAGTTCCAAGACTTCCTTGCGTCTTCACACATCTCTCTCAACTTCATTTCCGGCGGTTGGTCACAGGAGCTGATCGACCTACTGTACGAGAGCCAGTCCAAGCTGGACCAGCAGACTCACGAAAGTGATAACATCAACAAAGACTTTGATACCCTGCTCATCGGGGCCGAGACAATATACTCCCCGTTCGCTCTGGAGGCATTTAATGAGATGGTCTTTGCTATTCTTAGCAAGGAGAAGGCGGAGCGGGGAGGCAGCGGCTGTCAGTCACAGGCGCTGGTGGGAGCCAAAAGGCTGTACTTTGGCGTCGGGGGTTCACTCGACGACTTTGTGGATAAGGCCAGAGGGAAGGGCGCGACGGTGACTCAGATCGCGGAGGAGACGGAAGGTGTCCGGCGTGGAGTCGTGCGCTGCACGCTGAGTTCTTCCGGTTAATAGAACCATCGTTCCAGTCCAAGCTGTCGGGTGACGCTCATCTGTTTATGGTATTTGTTTGCCACCGCCGGGACGATGCCGTGCTCGATTGGCTGCCTTGTCGAACCCGTGTCTTGGGAGCCCACGAATGCTCTGGCGCACCGGCGCGAATTGGGAAGAGGTCCTTGCCGTTGTTGAGCATTCTAGGGGGAGACAAGGAAACTCTCCATGAGGTGCTGGCAGCTGGCAAGGCGAAGGGTCTCGGGCTGTAGCTGTGAACCCTTTCGGAAGGCATCCATCGTCCCAGACAGTGTCGTAAGACGCGGGACCTGTGGCATGAACCAAGACCTGTCGACAAATGTTGGGCACGTGAAACGTCAAGCCTGGTTGATGGGCGCGGCTGTGGCGTTGCAGAATGTTCATCAGCCTGGCTTTCTCTTGTCCTGCATCTGCAGCAGCCACGGCGTGGTACCGAATCGAATCGCATCAAATCGCCAATTCCAGTACCGGCATTCCCGTCCGTGGCACCGGATCGCGGCCTTGTACGTCACCCAAGTCGGGGCTGCAAATTTTGGGGGTGATTCGGAGGAATATCCATTCCAGCATGGTGTCATGTTGAAACGCTCCGTGAGGCAGAACCAGGCTTGGCTTGTCCTTTTTCGTCCGGCCAAGAGTAACTTACCACAAGATGTCACTGGCGTTGATGGCGGAAAGCTGCATGTGAATGAGTTGGGAGCACAGAGGGCCAAGCCTGTCACGGAGCTGCCACCCCCTCGGCTTGAAACTCTGCTGAAGGCGAGGACATCGCTACATGCTGGATGCTGGGATCCAACAAATGTATTCACCGATAGTTGTTCGCGAAGTTGCATTTTCATGACAAACGAAGTTGTTAATGACCGATACATCGAATCGTTCGGACGACACTCGAGCCATCAGATGGCATTCCGTTGTCGGCCGCGCGGGGGACTTCCAGATGGATGCTCACAAGGGGACGTTATGGAGAATAGACGAATCGGCTAGAGCAGGGTACGGAGGGGGGATTGTGGGTGAACCGGGACCTGTTAGTGTCCGAGTCCGTCGATTGGAGGCCAGGCACAGGGCCCATGGCGCAAAAATGCAGGTACCGTGCAAGCCGCGAAATAGCGCGCATGCTGGGGAGATTTGTCCAATGTTGGTCTCCACAATGGGTCTCCAACGGGGCGCATTGAAATTGGTCCTTTTTTCTCTCTCACTCAGATATTGGCATCTTGGAATCGCAATTGGGCGGCGGCCCAGGCCCTGACGTCGTTCCATTGCATCTCATTGCACAACCGATGGATTGCGCCCCCGTTCGCCGATTGAGAGCGAGATTGGCTGCGCTTGTGCGATATGATGTTGCAGTGCTATGTGCTATATCCGTCTACACCAGCCAATATGTGCAATATGCGTGCATGTATCGCGTACGAATACCGTGCCGTGGGAACGAGAGTTCTGGAGAGAGGGGCCGGATGGAATGCGCGGCACGGCTCAAGCGGGTGCAGGCGAAGAGCAGAATCTTCTCCGGCGCCCCCTCGGCAGATCCTCATCAGGCGATACCTGTCAGGTCAGTACCGTCGATTGCGGAGGACAGGCCGCTGGTTGTCACCGTCATGATCGGTGAAAGAGTGTCCCGTTCCAGCATGATGTGCGCCAGACTATCGTTGATGGCGACGGCCGAGCAGTAACTCACCTTTCACAGGTGCGTCAGGCCATCCATATTCGCAGGATCGAAGCATGGAGAAAAGCAACTTGCTACGTCCGCGGCAGCTGACCTGTTGTCTCAAGCCCTGCCCGTCAATGCTTCTATGGGGCGGAAACAAACAGACAAAGTTGCCAGGATCTAAATGACTTTGCGCTAGAAGTCAATGGACTGACGGTGAGAAGGGGAAACAGAGCAGGCTGGGTCGTCGGTGAGGGTGACGACGTAAGTGTCGCCGCCGCGTAGCCGCGGGCTGGGTCCTAGCACATCAGGGTTGAGGGTAAAGAAAGAAGGTGTCGCTGGCATCCTTTTTTTTTTTTTTTTTTTTTTTTTTAAAAAAAATGTTCGGATGCTTGGAATTACCAGCGCAGCGGAAGGCGTCGTCACCTCCATTAGGCGTGGTGGGGGAGCCTTGAGCTGTCAAGGTCAGCCTGCAGCAACCATCGGATTGACGACGAACGGCGACTGGTCCGCGGCAAGTAGAGTTTTTGCCTCTTGAGATAGAACACGAGATGGAAAGGAGGGTGGAGGGATGGACGCTGTTGGCTGCGCACGCAATTGCAGGCTGAGTTGGCTGGGCATCAGCGAGCATGACAGCAGCGCCAACAGCAGCAGGCTAAGATGGTAATATGCTCACATTCCCATGGGCGGCGAAAAGAAGAAGGCGCTTGGGGGAGACACATAGAAGGTACCTCCTACTCTGGGCTGGTGATGGCGCGCGCGCCATCTTTCGGGCGAGAGATGTAGCTGTCGGCGCTGAAAATGAAAATGAGTCTTGTCCCCCTCCCTTGCTGCGCCTCGAAAGACCCAGATCGACAGGAACCTCCCCAGGACCCCCTCGTCATCGGGCCAGAACGAGAAAAGCGGGCACCAGAGCATGGGCGAGAGTCAGAGACTGGCGCAAATCAGGTCTTGGGGCCTCTCTTAACTCCCTGAGTCTTCTTTGGCCCAGTTGCAGCGGGTGAGATGGACCATTTGCCCACTGGATTGTGCCATTGCGGATGCTGGAGGTGGAGGCGACGTTGTCACGCTGGACGGTCGACCAGGGCCGCTGCTCGCCCCAGCTGAATGGATGGAAGGGTTCTCTCAGAGACCCCAGCTCAAAAGACCAATAGGGGCGCTCGGGCGACTCCGGGGCACAAGGGTAAGAGAGGGGGGACGTTGAGCGAGCTTCGCAGTCGACGACGGTCGTTGGAAAAAAAAAACTGGAGGTGTGTTGTCGGCAACTAGGTAAGGTACCTAACAGTTCGGGCGACGGCGCATAACGTACGCGCGGGCGGAGTGGTTGCCCTCCCAGCTGTTCCAGGCCAGCTAACGCCTCATCAGACAGCTCAGCTTTAAGGTAGGTGCTGGTAAGCAGCTAGGAAGACAACCTAAAGTTGCAAGCTGTAACAGGTACAGCATCGTCTGGCGGGAGAGAAGCGTGCTGTTGAAAGCAGCAGCGAAAGAAAGAGACGGCGCACCACAGAAACCTGAAGCTTGGTGCTCGTTAGCGTGTGGCCTCGGGTTCGCCATGTTCCTCTCTGCGACAGGGGTCCCCGTCCAAGAATTTTCTGCCCCAACCCTGATTAAGCTTAGCGCCCCGCCCCTGTTGCTGGGGTTGCTAGGACTGGTGCGAAGGAAGGAAGGACGGACGGTTGGAGAGGAGAGGTACTTGCAGGTTTACACCCTCCCAGGCCATCGTCGCTGCTTCCTCATTTGCGACGAATTGCGCTGCGCCGACTGGACGCCTGCTGGCTGCTGCTGCTGCTGCCATGGAGGGTAAGGTAGGTAGGTACCGAATGGCATTGTACTGCGCCTGCGTAAATCACGGGCTTGGGAGAGGCTGGAGGCAGGCGCCAGGTGGGAGCCGTGGCCGTGGTGCCCGCGCCGTGGTTCACTTTGCAGCAGCAGCAAGGAGCAGCGCCTTCCGCGCAGCGCGGTTACTGTGTGAGATGGCTTTTGTTGTGATTCCATCGCCCTTCATCGTCGAAACGCCGCCAAACAAGCAAGCCTCGACTGTGCGTAGCTCCTGTCTCGCGTGCTCGCCTCCCGTCCCTCACCTCACCTCACGCCTTCGTCCTTCCGTTATTAAACTCACCTTGCGCTCCTCTCAGTCCCGCGCTTGATGATCCTCCATTCCACCCGTCTCCATCACCAGACCCAAACTCAACACACAAACAAATCTGTCCGTACACACAACACAGACAAACATCAACCCACGCAATATTACCACCCATCGCGCGTCCACACCCCCGGAATTCCAACTTCTACCCTCGAGCAATATCCAGGAAAAGCTCCGTCTGCTACCACCATCCCAGGTACCGCTACTGATGTAAGTCGCATGCCTCCGCCAGAACCCGCACACCCGCACACCCGCACACCCCCCCTTCCATGCTCTACCCCTGGATCTCTGTCTTCGCCTAATTTCGCTCCTTCGACACGGGGAAGCCAGAAGCCTTTTTCTACTCCTGGGCCCCCCCTCGAGCTGTTGCCCGTTTTCCTCTCTTGTTTCCTCACGAGCCTTCCCGACATTCGTTGTTGACCTTTTTTTGCGACCTTTACAGTAGTACGATACCTAATACACCAACCTCTACACTCGTTCACCAACTTTAATCTTCACAAAAAAACAACCCAATCCGTCACAATGAAGACCTTCTCCGCTACTCTCGTCGCCGCCTTCGCCGCTGTCGCCCAGGCTGTCCAGCTTACCAACAGCGACTTCGCCATCACCGCCGGCCAGCCCTTCACCATCACCTGGTCCGGTGCCACCGGTGCCGTCACCATCAACCTGAAGAACGGCGCCAGCACCGACCTGAAGACCGTCGCCGCCATCACCAGTAAGCCCGCTGCTTCGACCTGGTATGGTCTACTCACAGTATCAACATGACTGACATGAACGCAGCTGGTGCTACTGGCAACTCCTTCACGTGGACCCCTTCTGCCAGCCTCCCCGCTGACACCTACGCCATCGAGATCACCGACGGCAGTGAGACCAACTACTCTGGTCAGTTCCAGATCTCCGGTGCCTCCGGCGCGGCCACTGCCACCGGCGCCAGCTCCACTGCTGCTTCCGCTTCCGCTTCGGCCTCTGCTTCTGCTTCGGCCTCTGCGTCTGCTTCTGCCTCCGCTACCGTCACCGTCACCTCCGCCGCCTCTTCTACCGCCTCTGAGACTGCTGCCACCGTCTCCTCTGCCGCCAACTCCACCATCGCTTCTACTGTTGCCACCAGCACCCGCGCCAGCACTCGTATGTCTCCATCCTGGTTCTCTTCAGAACGAGATTCACTAACAAGCAAACAGGTGTCTCCTCCACTACTGGTGCCACCACCTCCCCCACCACTGTCCCTGGCAGCGACTCTGTCCGCCTCGGCTCTCCCATTGCCCTCATCGGCCTCACCGTCGCCGCCATGCTCTACTTCCAGTAAGCGTGTTTGTTTGACGAGGACGAAAAGGGACAGTCATGGGTCACTTGACTGGTGTATGATGGGAACAAAAGGGTTTAATATATAGTAATGCGTTCCAGGAACAACCAGGATGAGGCGTTGCATATGGGGTCTAGCTAAACTGAGTAGCTGGACTCAATGAAGACGATGACAACGGACGGCGTACCACTTCTGTGTATTGTATTCAACTGGGTCTGTACACAAGCATAGTCAATTACAGCAATCAGATGCATTGTTGCCTCTTACCACTAATTCGCCAGACCAACTTGTGGCCTGTTCGGTCGTGACCATCTGACATCTCGATTGTACAACGGCAGACCCCTCATATCTTCCGTGCTTGCATTGCCTATTCAAGCGACATGCATGACCTGACCGTTTGTCCTCGAGCGACGTGACGTTCTGCCAGTGCTTCCTGTGCGACGCTGCATGCGGGTCACTCGGGCGCAGGCATGCAGGGTACACTGTAGTCCGGGGCGCATCCGCGTCCGAGGGATCATTCAGGAAATCACACTAACACGGCCATCAAGATCTCGCCAGTCGTTGCATTTAAACTCATCCACGAAACAAACGAATCGTAGAGGTCTCCAGAAAATAAAGAACAAGTGACCGGTTGTTCGACCCTCCACGTGGAGAGGCTGACGCTGACGTGGACCCCTTTGCGGCCAAAAAAAGGGGGTCGGCCGTCCGCCGTGGGGAAGGCAGAAGAAGGAAGCAACGAACCAACGTCGGTTTCGCCTCCTGCCGATCAGCAGGAGAGGATTCCCACCACACAGACACAGACGTAAAAAAAACAGGTTCTACGGATACTGGTTGGTTGATCGGATGAGCCAAAATGCGTAGTTTGTTCGGGGGGGAAATCGAGGCTGTGAAAGAAAGGATTGGGGCGGTTGTCAACGTGAGACGTCTGGAAAGGGAACAAGATGCTGGGTTTTCTGGCCTTGTTCTAGCGTGTGTGTTCTGACGTGTGGTTTGAGAATCTGCTGAATATGTCTTGCTTCATCCGTTTGACGTTGTCCATAGTCTTTATCTGTCGATGGAGTCCAAGCGGTCAATTCGCCTCAATCGCATCGCTGGTCCCATCGTCATGGGCCTTGACTATGCCCAGATCGTCCGTCTGCCAGCTGCAATCTCGTATATGCTGTCATCTTCGTATTCTGAATGGTCCGATCTTGTCTACAGGGCCCAAAGCAAGATTTGGAGCTCTCAACGGTGGATGTATAGTGATATAACAAGCTCGAATGTCTGTGGCTTAGTTTCAAGGGGCTTGTTGCTTCTATGTACACGATGGATATCTGGTTTTGCGAAACACTAGACGGAAAAGAGACGATGATCCCAGGCTTGAATGTAGCGGCGGCGCCTTCTTTCCGATGTCTATATTTTTAATGGCTTGAGAAAACAAGAAAACGGAAGCCCATCCCGGCGGCATGCTTTGTGTCTTTTGATAAAAATACAATTCTGAAAATTCGACGCTCCAAACCAGAGCTAACTTCTCAAAGTGGCCTTAAAGACGGCTCTTGACCTTGGCGTCATCCGACGCAATAAGCACGACGACGCAGATGTCGTCAATCTTGCCGCCATGCCAGTTCTCCTGAGGAAAGTACTTCTGGACGCCCTTGGCGAAAGGACCGTCGTGCTTGCGGTTGAGACTAGCCGACTTGGCTGCCGCGGTAATCTCTGCTGCCAGAACGCTTTGCAGCGTCAAGAACTTTGAAGGTGGTCGTACGGAGGCATCCTCTGAGGGCTTCGTAAAGGGCTTGAGGTTGTCGACGACACGCACACCGTTCTTGCTGTCGAACCAGGCACCCGTCGTCGTCATGACATTGCTCACAATGCGAAGTATGTCCTGGTTGAAGAGGTTGTCCCAGACACCGTCAGTCGCAAAGACCACTATGTCCCCGTGTCGGAGGGCGTGTTGGGTAACGTCGGCGTCGGCGGGGAAGTCGCAGAGGTTGGCGCCACCAAAAGCAGCCATGCGTGCTGCCACAGCGGGGGGCACGATGGAAAGCTGATAAGGGGTATTGAAGGCGTGCGTTTGAGGCTCGGAGTAGGTATGTACGGCGTTCAGACGGAGCTGGATGAAGCCCGAGTCGCCGAGGTTCGCAACATCGAGGTTTCCATCTGGAGAGGCGACGGCAACGCATGCTGTGCTTCCTCCAGCGGGAACCGTCTTGTCTTCACATATCGCCTGATACCCGGTCTGCATCAAAGACTGCGCCCGCAATGGGTCCTTATCGCCACTGCCTTTTGTCGAATCGTTTTTGATCGCATCGTGGCCATAGGCTGACGAGGCCATGTAGTCGCAGAAGCCGTGAGAGAAGTCTGCAGGGTCGACACCAGAATCGACCCAGCCGCCGACACCATCGGCAACGCCCAGGGCTACCGACCCGGATTCGCCTACCCTGCTGACGAAGAAGGCGTCATGACCGCTGTCTGGCCTCGATCGCTTGCTGCGATTCAGTTGAATCCGATTGTATGGGTTGAAATGGAAAATATGTGTCGAGGGATCGTACGGTCGGTCTTTGCCAGTGAAAGAAGCTGCGACGTGGTAGGAGAGCTTGGATGCTGTCGAATTGGAGCTCATGTTTCTTGTCGTCGAGATGTAGCGCTGGAATAGTGGCGATGGAGGGGTCCGTTGCCGACGCAACAGATACGTCGGATACAACGAGGTGCAGGCTGTGATGCAATCAGCTTCTTGTCCTCAACAGATATCGCATTGTCAGAAGAAATTACCCTTGGTCAATGGCTTAGTATGAGAGAGCTGGACCAGGGGCTGGCGCAAAGCGATCACCGCCGCGGCCATTGCTTTCAATGTGCAGCGACGTGTCGTGTTTCTTGGAGATGCGTTTGCGGTGCTTCCGCAGTCCGCATGTTAACTATCCCCGCGTCAAGTTTGAAGGCGACAGACAACAACGCAAAGTCACCTCGCTGCGGGCTCGACAACGCTGTCAGCTTAGGATTTCATATGGAAAGACTGGAGCTTCCTCGACGCGCACGAGCACAATTGGACACTTGCGACGCGATGGGTGCAGCAGCCGTCCAAGGGATGGATGCAACATCCACCGATTTGATGTCATATGAAAAAGCGCACCCCGGATTTGGCAGGGATGACACCTCCGCCATATTCCCGCACCGCGTCACGTGCACCGACGGCAGCACGGAATGCCCGAGTCCTTCTTCACATTCACCCGATCCTGGTCAGCTGTGGAGAACTTGGGCTTATTATCAGCGTGCACCTGATTGGCCGGTTGTCCCGCTGGCCCTCGGGTATTCGAAGTCGGAACCAGCAGCCAAATCTTCTATGATGTTTGATTTCGCCCAAACGCCTCCCATAGGATAATATTACGGTGATCCGGCCAACTCCTCCAACCACCAACGCCCCGCAGCACACCTGTAACTGCTCAAACATCTCTTGGAGTTTCAACAAGCTGTTTTCTTGACTGTATCCTTGCGATCAATCGTTCCCGAAAACAACCGCCACGATGGCAGCTCTCCGCTCTTCCTCTCGAGTCCTTGGAACGGCCACGAAGGCCGCTTTCCGCCCTATTGTCACGATCCCTCGCCGTGGCCTTGCCACCCCTACGGATGCGCCCGCGGTCAAGGAGCCCAAGATGAAGAAGTTCACCATCTACCGCTGGAACCCCGACACGCCGACCGAGAAGCCTCGCATGCAGGAGTACACTTTGGACCTGAACAAGACGGGACCCATGATGCTGGACGCTCTGATCCGTATCAAGAACGAGATCGACCCCACTCTCACCTTCCGTAGGAGTTGCAGAGAGGGTATCTGCGGTAGCTGTGCCATGAACATCAACGGACAGAACACTCTGGCTTGCCTTTGTACGTGTCCCCCTTGAGGGCGGGGGCAGAAGCTCGACTCTGCCATCGCCTTCGAACCGGAAGATGTGAAAGCATGGCTAACCAAAGTCCAGGCCGTATTCCTACTGAGAGCGCGTCAGACGTCAAGGTCTACCCTCTGCCTCACACCTACGTCGTCAAGGACCTCGTTCCCGACTTGACGCAGTTCTACAAGCAATACCGCTCAATCAAGCCCTACCTGCAGAGAGACACTCCTGCCCCTGATGTACGCTGAAATTACCACCACTCACTTTAAAGGTTTACGCTAACCCTTCGCAGGGCAAGGAGTACCGCCAGAGCGTCGCCGACCGAAAGAAGCTGTCTGGTCTCTACGAGTGCATTCTCTGCGCCTGCTGCTCGACTTCCTGCCCCTCGTACTGGTGGAACTCTGAGGAGTACCTCGGACCCGCCATCCTCCTTCAATCCTACCGCTGGCTGGCCGACTCCCGTGACGAGCGCAAGGCTGAGCGTAAGGCCGCCCTCGACAACTCCATGAGCCTGTACCGTTGCCACACGATTCTCAACTGCACACGTGCCTGCCCCAAGGGTCTCAACCCCGGCAAGGCCATTGCCGAGATCAAGAAGGCTATGGCTTTTTAAGAAGCGAATCGGAAGTTGGCGGCGGAGGTTTCTACGGGTTGGAGTCATAATCTTGGGCGGCGCGTTATTGGCTGTATACTAGGTAGTGTGTACTTTATGAGCATGGCTGGAGTTTGAACTCCTTGGGCACACTAAAAGGGGACTCTGAATTCAGGCTTTCTTTTGTTTCCGTTACTCTACGGCTTACTGATGAGGATTACCTGTGTGTCTGGATGTGCTAGAGCAATGCGAGGCGAGGGGGTCAGACCTCAGAATGCTACTGGGTCTGTGGAAGAGGCAAATGAGGAGGTCAGGTGGACGATGCAACAAAGAAAGTTGCCACATTAGAGTTGGCCGTGGAACGGCGGCTTCATGATAGATACCTAGGGTAACCCTAAATTATTTACAATTCTTCAACACTGCTGCAACCGCGTAGGCACGTGCTCTGAAACTCTCGAACGCAGTATTGCGACAACGAGTTGCGAATTGATTATGGCTGCACTACAACTGGAAACCATCTGACCACTGACCGCTAAGCTGTTACCGAGGCTCCACGTAGTCACGTTGTTTGAAAAGTGGCAATGCGAATAATCGCACGCGATAGCGAGCTATGGTCGTGAAGTCATGGACTTGGGCCTCTGCATCGAAAGGGACCCAGTTCCACCCGCACCTCGGCAATGGGGTTCGGGAAGCACCGCAGAACCAGCACGCAATGCGAAAAGCTCCAACGAGGCCAATTGCGTTCAATTGAGAGACAGAAACGCACAGAAAAGTGTTGCGACAACTCCAGAGCAACTCTTCAGAGGCATAGTTCAAGTGCGCAACGTGTATCGCAACCCCAAGTTTTGCGGATAAACATAATTCTTCAATGGCCGCTGATCCAGGAGGGCTAAGCTTTCGTCCGGTCGCACTGATGATAGGTACCCCGGATTGGATCTTCGGAATTTGACGGGACTTCATGCATGTGAAGGTGTGGCTTTCCTGGAGTGTGGCTAGTGTGGCTTCGGCTCCTCGGCGGATGTCCAGCTTAGGTTCGTATGGAGACGGAGGGATAATCACGAATCAAGACAGAATGATTGGCTGAATCGCTTGTGGAATCCTTTCCTCGCAAACCTCTCGACAGGTCGTACCTAGTAACCTTTTCCCACCTAAGTTGTTGACATCGACTGGAGGCAGCACCTCGTTCTGGAGACCGATCCCCAATTGAAGGTACGTGTGCAGTTATGGCAGTAGCAGGTCTTAGGGGACTTCTCTCTTACTAACCCGTCGCCCGCAGGCCTGATCTCTCTCTTCCGACAACGGTTAGTTCCGACCATTCCCTTCCACGCATCCATCCACCCGCACAGCATCCTCGGTCGTCAACGTCGTCTGCTACCCCCACGACCTGAGTATTCAGGACCACGAATACGCCAACAACTCGACACAAAAATACTGACACTCGACAATAGTGTTTATAGCAAATATGGCCTCCTCAATGGCGCTGAGGAGATTTGCCGCCGCCAGACCTGCTGTAAGCATTCCCTCTGTTCTGTGACAACCTTCGACAGAATCCATGGCGGGCTTGGAGAAACAACCTCGCTGACAATCCTCAGTTCTCGCAGGCGCGCGCATTCTCCACGACTAGATCCGCCGCGCGGGTCTTCGCGAACCAGCCCCTCCGTGCGAAGGAGGCTTCCCCCTACGTCAGCAACAAATACCCCGTCATCGACCACGAGTACGATGCCATTGTCGTCGGTGCCGGTGGTGCTGGCCTCCGTGCCGCCTTCGGTCTCGCTGAGGCTGGCTTCAACACTGCTTGTATCTCCAAGTTGTTCCCCACCAGATCTCACACCGTCGCTGCTCAGGGTGGTATCAACGCCGCTTTAGGCAACATGCACGAGGACGACTGGAGGTGGCATATGTACGACACCGTCAAGGGTTCAGATTGGCTCGGTGATCAGGATGCTATTCACTACATGACCCGTGAGGCTCCTGCCTCCATTGTCGAGCTTGAGAACTACGGCTGCCCCTTCTCCAGAACCGAGGACGGCAAGATGTGAGTGCCATTCCACGACCTAGTTGTGAGATCCTTCTTGCTAACAGCCTTTCGCAACAGCTACCAGCGTGCTTTCGGTGGTCAGTCTCAGAAGTTCGGAAAGGGTGGACAGGCCTACCGCTGCTGCGCCGCTGAGGACCGTACCGGACACGCCCTTCTGCACACTCTCTACGGCCAGTCACTCCGCCACAACACCAACTACTTCATCGAGTACTTCGCCCTCGACCTGATCATGCAGGACGGCGAGTGCCGCGGTGTCCTCGCCTACAACCAGGAGGACGGCACCCTGCACCGTTTCCTCGCGAACCACACCGTCCTGGCTACCGGTGGTTACGGACGTGCCTACTTCTCCTGCACCTCCGCCCACACCTGCACTGGTGATGGTATGGCCATGGTTGCCCGTGCCGGTCTGCCCAACCAGGATCTCGAGTTCGTCCAGTTCCACCCTACCGGTATCTACGGCGCTGGCTGCTTGATCACTGAGGGTGCTCGTGGTGAGGGTGGTTACCTCCTCAACTCCGAGGGTGAGCGTTTCATGGAGCGTTACGCCCCCACCGCCAAGGATCTTGCCTCTCGTGACGTCGTTTCCCGTTCCATGACCATGGAGATTCGCGATGGCCGTGGTGTTGGCGAGGACAAGGACCACATCTTCCTGCAGCTCAGCCACTTGCCCGCCGAGGTTCTCCACGAGCGTCTGCCCGGTATCTCTGAGACCGCCGGTATCTTCGCCGGTGTCGACGTTCGCACCCAGCCCATTCCCGTCTTGCCCACCGTCCACTACAACATGGGCGGTATCCCCACGAAGTACACCGGTGAAGTTATCACTGTTGACGAGAACGGCAAGGACAAGGTCGTCCCCGGTCTGTTCGCCTGCGGTGAGGCCGCCTGTGTCTCTGTCCACGGTGCTAACCGTCTCGGTGCCAACTCCCTGCTCGACCTTGTCGTCTTCGGTCGTGCCGTCTCCCACACCATTCGCGACAAGTTCTCTCCCGGCACTAAGCACAAGCCCCTTGCGGCTGATGCTGGCGCTGAGCACATTGAGGTTCTTGACAAGGTTCGCACGTCCGAGGGCCCCAGGACCACCGCCGATGTTCGTCTTTCTATGCAGAAGGCTATGCAGACTGAGGTTTCCGTTTTCAGAACACAGGAGTCCCTGGATGAGGGTGTTCGCAAGATGGTTGAGATTGACGCTCAGTTCCCCGAGGTCGGCATCAAGGACCGCAGCATGATCTGGAACTCCGATCTTGTTGAGACCCTTGAGCTCCGCAACCTGCTGACTTGCGCGTAAGTAACATCTTTGGTTAAATCGGTCACACTTGACGCTAATAACTTAACAGCATTCAAACCGCCACCTCTGCCGCCGCTCGCAAGGAGTCTCGCGGAGCCCATGCGCGCGAGGATTTCCCCGAGCGTGACGACAAGGAATGGATGAAGCACACCCTCTCTTTCCAGAAGCAGCCCCATGGCAAGGTCGACCTCAGCTACCGTGGTGTTATCGCCAACACCCTTGACGAGAACGAGTGCAAGGCCGTCCCTCCTTTCAAGCGTGTGTACTAAACCATCAATGTTACGATAGACCAGGTGTCGGGTGTTTTGGGAGGCGCGCAACGGGAATGTCGGAACAGCAGAGGATGAAGAGAAAGAAGATTAAGGAGAGGAGGCGAATCATAATACCACGATAATTTTCAGTTAATGATCGTGGGAGAAGCCGCGTGGGGGATAAGTTACCTACCCTTTTTGGAATATGCTGTATGGGCTAGGTACATGCACCGCAGGCTTTCGGGCTTTGGCTCTGGAGTTAAAAACGTGTAAAGTAGGAGGAGAAATTCATTTTGTTCAAAGAGAAACCTGAATCAGTTCAAACTTGAATGTCCCTTGCCATTGGGTATTGACGACTTGGATATTTATCTCCTGCTCCTTGTGACTGACGGTGTTCATGGGGCCAATCAACTTCATCACACTCTGTTCTTGTTGTCACAACCACCCTCGCATAGCTGGCCGTTCTCATCACACCGCGTTGAGGTTTTTTTTGGCTCAGCCAAGAATGTGCCAACCTAATTGATTCAACCGTTCCTTACTTTGTTCAAACAGGCACGCCATGTGCCATCACGGTCACATGCACCAAGTGAGCATTTAGGCAAGACATTGCGCGGATCGAGACGGCAGTTCACAGCAGCAACATTTCATTGCGAGCTACTAGCAAGAAAGATACACTACATTTTCCTTCCTTGTATTTTTTGTTCCATAACATTTTCCTCTCGACCATTTTCAAGGGGTGGGATCGGCAGTGAAGTACGGAAGAGAGTAGGTCTGATCAGGCTCGCTGGTGAAGTAGGGCAGAGAATACGTCTGGTCGGGCGCGGACGTGGACTTCGAGCAGGGAGGCGCGGTGTAGGACGGCCAGGGGCGGCAGTCAGAGTGGCATCTTTGGGAAGTAATGTTAGCCGTCTACAGCATTCTCTTGTGGAATGGATCGACAATAGGAAAAGAGAGGGAGAGACTTACCCGCCATACCACTGACCACACTCGTTGACGTAGTCTATGCAGACGGTGCGCTTGCTGCATGAGTCCGTGATGATGGTCGGCGGCTTGACCGGGGTGACCGAGATGCTGGGAGGCGCGGTAGGGCGAGGCGAGGGCTTGCCGGGGATCTTAGTGATGGACTTTGTTGGCTTCGTGGGCTTCGGGCAGGGAGGCATCGTGGGCGCCGTGTCCGGCTTGCAGGCATCGTAGCAGCTATCATTCGACATCAGCAAAGGATCGTAGGCAGCAGCGGTAGGGGAAGATGGCTTACCCTCCCCAGCGCACAGTGGGACAGGCCGGGTTGATTCCGTCGATGCAGATGTTCTGGGGGCAGCCGGCCTTGCCCAGCTGGATCTGAGGGGCCGCAGCGACGAAGCCAGCGACGCTCAGAGCGGCTGCGAGAAGTTGAGTCGAGTGCATCTTGAATTGGTGTAAGTCGTAGAAGAGTTCTTGAATCTGCAGATGTTGGTTTGTGTATGTGAAGAGCGTATTGTGGTTTTGTGCTGGATTACACAAAAACTTTCCATCGGTCAGGCCGGACAACCGGGTCCCTATATAGCCTCACGGCCTGCGCAGATAGGTCGCACGTACACCCGCGGCGGCTTGCCCAACAGCCGACTGGGATAGTTTCCAAGACGGGAAGACGGAGGCTAGCGGGAGCGTGTTTGTGACTGTCTCGGCCGCAGGGGAGGAGTGAGCCGCCATTGCCCTGCCCCGCGAGATATGCGCCCTGGTTGCGAGTGCACAAGGCACAGCGCCAAATGAGTTTGCTTCCATGCCCGCCAAGCACAGTCTACCTTGCTTCGGTGTAGGTGCCAAGAGACGCGGAAGCATGCCAAACGTGAGAATGGCTTGCACAGGGCCACGATGTATGGGAGAAAGGGAGCGCATGCGGATGGTGGTCGAAAGTAGCGTGCGCCGCATGTGCAGGTGGACAGAGCGGTGGATGGGGTCGACGATCAGCGATTGGTGATGAGGTCAAGGTCTCAGTTCTCGGCTGTTTTCGAGCAGTCTGGTCTCAGACTGCCCTACCAGAAGGGGTATTCAGGGCTGTTGCAAAAGGCAAGGGGGAAGTCGAGTGGGCACCGCGGGGAGTTACACTAGCACAGCTCCTTTGTTCGTGATACCCAGTTGTGGACTCGAGCGATGTCCAACTGATGTAAGGATACCATCAACGGTCTTCAGCTCGTTCCAGGTTGTAAAATTCTTGACGAGAACCCATTATTGAAAAGCGACGGACAAAACCCCGCCCGGGTTGGCCTGAAAGTGGCTCTCCAAATGTAAGCCCGGGCTGAGAGGCTTTCGTGATGTTGCCCAGCACCATGCAACATGCCCGTATGTGGCTGGTCCATCGCCTATACGGGGGAGTCAAGATAACCGTATCCAGAAGCTTTCCGCTCCCGCCAAGGCGCTTGCTTCGAGGGAGCGGCGACCTGGACCCCTGCCGGCGATCGGTACGGGCGGACTTATATGAGGATCATCTTCGAAATCGACGTCGAGGTTGGATTCGGTTGAGAGACTTGGGCGGTTCTTCGGCCCGTCTGAACAGTTATTCCACGAGTTTCGAACAGGTCTAGGAATGCAAATTCTGACACTAAGTTGTGTATGTTCCATCGACTGCGGAAAGCCGTTCACTGGTAGTAGGCTATCACGAATCCTTGGGACTGTGTGATATGGACTCGGGAAGCGTGGAGCTAGCCATGGAAGCCAACTCAAGATCGCACAACTGCTCCCGCCGGCTGGGAGGAATGCCACCGGAAGCTTGGAAGGGTTCGTATCTGCGACAGGACTCGGGCGTTTGGTCGCTGACGGTTGGATGACATCAGCCCAATGACATTCAGCAGGGCATTTGTGGACGAGTGGACGCACGAGGGGGGAAGAAATGAAGGGATGTCTCGTTGTACGAGCGACGTTCGTTCGGGACCCCTGGTGCAGCCGAGAGGGAAAGGCAAAGGTCCGCAACGTGCAAGGGGCTATGAATAGCATCCGATCATCAACTGCCTGACTTGCTTCCTCTCCTCCCGATTGGGGCATTCATATCCAAGACATGGAAGAACCTTACCTTACCTACAAACCCTCTTGCTACGGCTGTCTCTCCTTCCCGCTGTCAGCTAAGCCAAGATTGTGACTGTGGCATTTGCGGGGGATCATCGACATGGAAGGCGCATACCTCGGTGATATTTGAGACATGCGGCGCTGGGAAAATCTTGGTCACCTTGAATTGGTCCGTCTTACCTTACTCTCTTCTTTTGCTTCCCTTTTGCTTGTTCCGCGCTCCGAGCCGAATGTATGCGCTGCTTCGGAGACATTACTTTGCCCTCTAAGCGTCCACAACATTCCTCGAATGTGCCTATTCGGACGTCAGCTCAAGGCTGGGCAAGACATACGAGCGAGGCGCCCTACCCTTTCCCGTCAACGCTCGCAACGAACGTGGAAGGCCCCGTCGATCATTGACAGATCCTGCCACGAGTCGCGAGCTCGTCGATCCGGCGCGAGCCGACCTGTTGTCTCTCAAACCGTCCCAACCTGATCGGGACTACTATCATCAACTGGCCAGTGATCATCGATCGAGCGAAGATGGCTGATCATCAGGAACTCCTATTTTTAGAAGAAGAGAAAACTTCGTTGCAACCGCCCAGATGAAAAAATAAGGATCAGCATGAAGAGATGAAAGAACCTCATCGGGACAGATCCAGCCAGAGACAGCAACACTCGCTTGAAAGATATCACGATGCCGGATCTGGGAAGTATCTCGTGCAGCACCATCATAGATGCAAATCACCCATCGCAGTGGAACCCTTGACGTGCCCGGAGGAATCCAAGCCAGCCTTGGCGGGAGATAGCTAAGGTCAGACAGCGTCAAAATCAGGGCAATTCCTTCGACAGGTGTGGTCAGCTCGCAGCTTGTTACACAAGAAGCCAACGGTTCGTTTGTATCCTATGCCCACGTCGTCAGCTGCGTCATGCTGGGCATCACAGAGAACGCCATCTCATGTTTCAAGCGGGGGCACACGCTCCCCTGTTACTCAAGAACCGGTTGTGCTCACCGGTTCGTCGGTTACTGATCCAGGTCCTTCGCATGGTCCGTTGAACCAGGACACTGGCCATGTATCTGGCGCGGGAACGAATCATTTCATCAAAGTGACTACTCAAGTTTGTATTTTTGGTTTTACTCCTAAACGACGCCGGTGCTGGTATCAATCAATGCTGTTCATAAAGTAGGCACCACGTAAGGTATGCAAAAGAGAACAGACCCCTACAGCTTATTTCTTCTCCTCAAGGTATGCCTTCCATCCCACACTCTGCAGCTTGGCTGCCTTTTGCTCCACCTCGGTAGACATGTTGCTCATGTACTGAGCCATCTTCTGCTGGTACTCGAGGCTGGAAGAGCCAAGGATCTTAACAGCCAACAGCGCGGCGTTTGTTGAGTTGTTGATGCCAACGGTGGCAACAGGGCAGCCGCGGGGCATCTGCACGATGCTGAGCAAGCTGTCGTGACCGTCCAGGTGCGTGGCCTTGACGGGAACACCAATGACTGGCACCGTAGTTTCAGATGCCAGCATGCCGGGCAGGTGAGCAGCACCACCAGCTGGGTTTCATGTTAGCAGTGCGATCTTTGTACATTGGTAGGCAACACATACCGGCCGCGATGAGGACCTTGATACCACGCTGGGCAGCAGTCTTGCCGAGCTCTACCATGCGGTGGGGAGTGCGGTGTGCAGAGGTAATGTCGAGGTCGTAAGGAACCTCGAATTTCTCGAGGATCTCGAAAGCCCCTTGAAGGACCTTGAGGTCGGAGTCAGAGCCCATAGTGACAACCACAAGAGGCTTGTCTGAGTTCCGCGAGCTGATCTTCTTGGCCTTGATAGGAGACTGCTGGAGACGAGGCTGCCCGGACGAGGCGTCGATGCGAGCCTCGCGCATATAGTTCACCTCGTTGATCAGGGGCGCAGCCAACTGCTCCAGGTTCACGCCATGTTCGTAGGACGTGACGGTGATGTGGCCGATCTTACGGGCCGGCTTGGAAGACTTGCCGTACAGGTGGAGGAAGATGTCCATCTTGTCGTCGTACAGGGACGTGGTGAGATCAACAAGCTCCTCGTGAGAGTCTTCGCGCGCGCCGCCCAAGATGTTCAGCATGATGGCACTAGAAACACGGGGCTGAAGCTTAATGGACCGCGGGAGCATGTCCAAGATGGAGTAGAGTTGCGCCTTGTACTGGGACATGTAGGGCACAGCCTCAATGGTGTAGTGGCCAGAGTTGTGAGGACGAGGAGCAACCTCGTTAACGGTGATGGTGCCTATCAGATGTCAGTTCAAGATCAAATCATGACGGCGTTGGAAACTCACCATCCTTCAGGAGGAACATCTCAACAGCAAAGACACCCCTTCCCTTCAGCGTCTTAACGACGTCGCCAGCAACCTGGCGGGCCTTCTCACAAACATCAAGAGGGACTCTGCGAGGAGGGTAATAAACCTTAGTGCAAATGCTCTCCTCGTGAATCGTCTCGACAGCCGGGTAGGTGTGGACCTTCCTCAGCTCACCGTCCTCGTCCTCGGTGCGAACGACCATGACGGCAAGCTCCATGTCGAAAGGAACCCACTTCTCGGCATAAAGCGACAGCTTACCCATCGCCTGAATAGCTGCCTCGTAGTCCTGAACGCCATTGACCTTGAAGTTGCCGCGGCCATCGTAAGAACCCTTGCGGGCCTTCAGCATGAAGGGGAAGCCAAAGCTCTTGTAAGCGGCCGACAGGCTCTCCGGGATGGCGGGGCTGGACTCGATGGCCATCTGCGGCGCAATGGGAAGGCCGGCTCTGGCGAAGTGCTCCTTCTGGAGGAACTTGTCCTGGATGAGGCGCAAAGTCTGCCAGTGAGGGTGAACGGGAACCTTCTTGACGGTGCCGGGCGCAGTGATAACGCCGCGGGTCGCAATCTCCTCGAGGACCTCGGTGTTGACGTGCTCAATCTCGACAGTAATGACATCGCACATGGCCGCGAGCTCCCTGATCTTTGCGGGGTCCTTGAAGGAGCCGGTGACATGGCGGCTGTTCTGGTTTGCCATCTTCGCAGGGCAATTGGCCTCGTCGAGGATGGCGATATCGATGCCGAGAGGCCCCGCGGCCTCGCACAGCATCCGGCCAAGCTGGCCGCCTCCAAGGAGGCCGATGGTAGGCTTCTTGACCATGTTGGAAGGCGTGAGGGCGGATTTGGTGTAAGTGCGAAGGAGATTGGAACCAGAACGGATGCGATGGTTCGAGAACAAAAATGGTGGAGAGGTGGTTCCCGAGGGAAGAAACGACTCATCAATCCCGCATAAACAGGGCGGATGGAGCAAAGTTTTGAGTCGAAGTTTAGAGATTTTGACCTTTTCGGGCAGGCGGTGAAAAAACACCCCGCCGTTATCGTCGCTGTAGAGCCCCACCCCCACTATGACAAGCCTACAGGGTGAACGGCAGGACGCCACAGGGCCCCCCTGCTCCACCAAAAAATGCCATTGACACGCCCGCGCTTTAGACGCTGTATTCTTCGACCTCAGCCCCCCTGCCCGTGAGACTCACTCTCATTACCCCTCCAGATTGACATTTTGAACAGCCACCACCACCACGCGTGTGTGTGGAAAGCCGGAATCATGGCGGCAGAATTGTACGATGGGACGATTTCCGACAGGATACAGTGAGTGAAAATGCCAAGCTGTGCTCTCGTTTTGTGTTGTTGCCCAGCTGGCTCACCTGCATGAATCATCTAGTCCTCTCAAAATCTTCGATGCAGCCAAGAGCCAGGACAGGTTTCTCAATGTCTCTGCGCCCATGGTGAGATACAGCAAGGTAAGATTCTCGGAAAGTTGCTCTGCCGTGAGAGAAATGAGAATGATCTCACAAATTGTTAGCTTGCCTTTCGTCAAACGGTCCATGAATATGGAACCGACTTGTGCTGGACGCCCATGATCCTGTCCAAGGAGTTCAACCGCAACAACTTTGCGCGCGACAGCGGTTCGTAATTCACCATTCCCAACTGAACCGGCTCAGAAGTTGACGAGTTTCAATGAAGACCTCACAATCTCAACCCAGGGCGTCCAGCCCCCCACGATAGTCCAGTTCGGCTCAAACAGCCCCATAGAGCTCGCCCGCTCATCGTCCCTAGCCGCCCCCTATGTGAACGGCGTCGACCTCAACTGCGGCTGCCCCCAGTCCTGGGCCTGCGCCGAGACTCTCGGTGCCGCGCTCATGGAGAAGCGCGAGCTTGTCCGTGACATGGTCATCGAGACGCGACAGCGTCTGGCGAACGACGGCTGGCACGTAGGCAAGGAGCGTGATATCGACAGTCCCAAGGGGCGCAGTGTCAGCGTCAAGATCAGGGTCCACAAGGACTTGAGGAGGACGATGGACTTCATCGACACCGTCATCGGCAACCCCCACGATCGCAACATCGACTTCCTAACCATCCATCCCCGTACGCGCCACACGGCCTCCAGCACCCCTATCAACACGGAGTCGCTAGGTATCCTGCTGGAAAAGTATGGAGACACCCTCCCGATCCTTCTCTCTGGCGATGTCTTTTCCATGGCTACACTGCCGCTATCTACCGTTTCAAAGACAGTATCGGAACCAGATGGACAGGTTACCAACGGCCTCACACCTTTCACTCCAAGCGGAACCAAACTCGCGGGTCTCATGTCCGCCCGTGGCATCCTCGCCAACCCGGCCATATATGCGGGTTACGAAGCCTGCCCCTGGGAGGCCGTCGAGTCCTTCATGCGTCATGTCATCCGTGCCCCTATTCCCGTGAAGCTGGTGCAGCATCACCTCCACGAGATGGTCGGCCCAGGCATGGGTCCAGACAAGAAAGCGCTGCTTGACAAGCAGGAGAGGGCTGCGCTGCAAAGACTGGATAGCATGATAGACGTGATAGACTTCATGGACGAGGCAGTCAACCGCAAGACGGGTAGGGCAGACGGGCTGCGACGTGAACCCGTAGACAGTTCAAAATTATCTATACCATGACGACTTGATCGTATTCCGCAAGCATTTCATCCAGTGCATGTATTAGGAGCACTATCGACGTATCGTGCTATCTGAAGCAGCGCTTGCGTCATGAGCTCTCAGGTTCCCACCCTCCTGAACGCCGTGCCCTCGGTGCTTTCTAGGTTCCAGACGTGAGCCAAATTGCTCGAATGCAAGGCTGCCTAAAACGGGATCCATATGATGTACTAGGGTGATGCCGCACCCATGGTTAATTGCCTTTCGACCGCCAGTCCGCATGCCGTGAAGATCGATGGACCTCCCAAACGCCGGGTCCCTAAATAATTACAATATTCAAATTGATGATCCTCGTTCTGCCCCGGTATTCTAATCCAGGACTTCTCCCTCATCCTCATCGGATAGTCTCGCGCGCTTCTGGTCCCGACCCTCAGAGTCAGACTCAACTTCCTTCCTCTTGCCTGGAGATACGGCGCCGGTACCATTCGCTCTTTCCGGCTCCTTGAGAGTAGCCTGTGATCCAGATTCGGTGTTGGTGACATCGTCGCGGCCATTGATGCGAGCCCTGGGACTTTGCGTCCCCCTGTCAAGTTCGAAGGGCGTACCTGCCGTCGATGAAAGCGCGTCCTGGCTCATGGGGTCTCTCGGCTGTCTCGTGTTCTCCAGGTCGAAGGCCGGCGATGGCAGAGATGGGTTCTGCTTCCTAAGCGGGTTCTCCGTATAGAATTGTTGCATGATATCAATTGCGCGAGTGCATTTCCTCTCGTTGCCCTTCAGGGCCTTCCACCACGGTTCGCCGTTGACGTCTTCAATCTTATTCTTAGTGTGCACACTAGCAAAGAATATGGCGCAGATGGCTACATCGCGAGCCTCAAGCAGGAGAGGGATCGAGGTGAGGCAGGCGTCGTTGCACCAGGCCCATGCCGACTGGCGCAAGTGCTTATTGTGGACAATGTCGAGCTGGCCCAGCAGTTCGAATAGCCGCTGATAGGGATTGTCGACCATGAGGTCAAAAGTAAGCAGCTCCAGCATGAGTTCTTCGTATGCCAGGATGCTGTCCCTCCAGCGCCAGTATTCCTTGCTCATTTCATCAATCATGAGCTTCGGGTTCTTCTGCGCGACTTTTGCAACGGTGATGATGATTTCTTTCGTTTTGCGGCAATTCTCTTCTGTCTTGTTCGCAAGAAAGAGAGCTGTAGCAGCAATATTCTGTTCAATTGAGTCTGTTAGTTCTGGTTCGGCTTGGGCTTTCTGAGTTCCTCGCTTGGATCTGGGAAGGGACGTCTGCGTCTGACACTCGTCAGACCCGAGCTGGATCGTAACGGAAGCAAAGGGAGCAGCGGAAATATCTCACATAATGGTGAATGCCGCCCTTCTCCTCAACCATACTGTATCGCATGTAGAATCGATGGAAGAAGACGCCTGCAACCCAAAGAGTGATCTGGGGCAGATCGAGCAGGACGCCGGCTTGGTAGATGAAGTTAACACCTTTTGCGCGTCGAAGTCGTTCTTCCGCCGGGGAAATTCCATCCAAAACGCTCGGCGTGCTCAGTGCCTCGTCGTTAGTGAAGTACCACTGATTGGGTGGGGGCCCAGACGGGCTTTGCGCCCTTGAGCGCTGTGGCGATCGCGCATCTCGTTGTGAAAGCGGTCGAGGCGGTGAGGTTCGCGAAGAGTGTGTCGGGGGAGATGGAACGGCTGGCGGAACGTCCAGGCGACGCGCAGGAGATCTCGACTGCCGATCTGGCCGCGGAGGACCAGGAGGGAGAGTAGGCGGCTGATAGGCCTCTCTTGACGGCCGATAGCGATCGATGCTGGCCATCGCCGCGGTTGTGCTAAGGTGATTTTGTTTCGGCGATTGGCGTTGTGCAAAAAGATGAATTGGTCATGGGAAGGTGGCGCGCGCTGTCGCAAAGTTCGAGATGGAGTTGGATGATGCAGTACCTTGGCCTTGCAGGAGTAGTGGATTTTGGGTCCTGTTTGAGTCGCGTTATCTAATCGCGAATTTGACTTCCACGTGACCTTGGGTAGCCACTTAAGACCCTTGACTTGGCCCGTGCATTGCTGTCGCAGTGGCTCTCTTAGTCCAGTTTAAGAACCTGCGGTCACTGAAGCTCCTTGCCTTTATTTTGATGCATGGGTATCTCGTTATTCTATTGGGCCTCTATTTTCGCAACCTGCCGGGTGGCCTGTCTAGATTCCCTCGCCGTCATTGCGACCCCAGAGCTTCACCGTCCGGTCATGCCCTCCACTGACAATCCACTTTCCGTCTCTGCTCACGTCCACACTGGAAACCGGACCGGCATGTCCACTTAAAGTCTGGATGACCTCCCAGTTGTCCGCCGAGAAGATCTTGACCTTGGCATCAAATCCACCAGATACGAAAAATGTGCCGGCCTTCTTGGGCTGCTGGGCACCGCTCTCGTCAACCCCCGGTGGATGCCCATCAATCGGGTCGTCCGTTCCCTTGAACCACCTGAGATCAGACACGGCCTTTGTGTGAGCTCCCAGGTTTGCCGTTCTCTGAACCTTCCGAACGTCCCAACACTTGACCCAGCCGTCTGCCGATCCCGACAGCACTCGGTGTCCATCCGATCCCCAGTCGAGGGCGTATATCGGCTGGATGTGCTCGTCCAGAATCATGACTGTCCGTCCTGATCGCAAGTCCCAGATGCGACCAATGCTGTCCAGGCCGGCGCTGGCCAAAAGGGAGCCATCCGCGTTGAAGCTCACTGCATAAACACCTCTGGAATGGCCTTCCTGGAGCAGCAGCTCCGCGGTAGTCTCCACGTCCCAGAGTCTCCATGTCGTGTCGTCTGAGGCAGATGCCACATACCTTCCAGAGGGATGGAACTCGACACGGGATACGCGAGCACTATGACCAGAGAGCGTCGACAGCGGTGTGTCTTGCTCAAGTCCCCACAAATGCACCACACCTTCGGCTCCTCCAGACGCGAGGTTGACAGTGCTGGGAGACACATTGGATTCGGGCAGCGTAGAGCCCGGATACCATGAGAGACCGCTGATCTTGTTGGTATGTCCTCGCAGGTTCATCTTCTGCTCCAGGCTGGGCACCTCGATGAGTTTCAGACCTCCTCCCCAGTTGCCCACCGCGACAATCTCTCCATTGGGTGATAACCTCGTCATGCTGACATTTCGGTCGCCAGCTGTTTGACTGCCCTGAAGCTCGAAGCCCTCCAACTTCTCCTTAATCTGTTTTCGGAACTTGACGTGCGTGCGCAAGGGGATTGTCGACTCTGCTTTTTGAAACTGGACTCGTCTTCTCGCTCTGGGGAGCGAGTATTTAACGATATCGATACGTGCTTGTAACAGTGCTGGGCCTCCCGGGGTATAGAATTCTTCGTCTTGGTCGTCCGCGTCTTCGTCTCCAGCCTCCTGCATCTCGACATCGACATCGTCCATCTCCTTTTGAATAGCAAGTAGGTCCCTCAAACGGTCTCGTCGTTCAGGCTTGCCCTCTCCAAATAGTGTTATGGGTTCGCCCAGCTCTCTGAGCCTCGCGCGCACTCGGTTGTCGTCGGTAGGCACCGCGATGCTAGCGGCCAGCTTTTTCCTCTCCATCTGCGCCAGAACGGCGGAGGCTTTCTCAGGCGCCACGCCGGACGCCGCAGAAGGGATCTCGTAGTCATGGTCGACGGGAATGTCCTCGAGCGCGATTCCTCTGTCCTCGTCCATGGCCTCCTCCACGTAGGCCTGTCGCGACGGATGCATCATCTTGGGCGGAACGGGGGCTGTCGCGGCCCCAGGAATCAGCTGCGAAACAAGGACAGAGATTCAGAGAACGAGAAGTTGAGCGAACGGGATAACTGCCGCCAATGGCAGCCTGAAGGTGATCGTCTCTGGGTGGTGATAGGTAGCTGGTTGCCTTCCAAGGTAGAGCTCCATGCAAAGGTTACAGTCGCGCCAGCTGCACTGGAAAATTTCGGATTAGGTAAGCTGACAGGTCGCGTTTGGGCATGCATCGGATATCAACGGGAGTGGGGCCGGCTTATACTCCTTCATGTTCACTTCGCTCCACCAAGACATCGAAGCCATTTCGAAATTTCCTCAAACCCATTGGAATTCTAGATATTACACAGCTCACAGCCGAGCTCTGGGAGTACCACTCACAATTCCCCCGTCTGCAACATGACCAAGGGCTGTATTCATCACTGTAGCCAGTCGCTCCATGGCCATCTCATCAATCTGATGATGCAGCACAACCCTCTTCCCGTCGAGCTTGATTCCGTTCCTTTTCCCGAGATCATTCCATTCCCTAACTTCTATGTTGCAGCTCTTGAGATCCACCCAGGCCATGTTGGTCTCGACAGGCTTTAGTAATCTCCCCCCTCTCTCCATCCACATCCTCCCAACCCTCTCTGCCAGAACACGACTGTTCCTCAAGACCCGTTTGGTATCTCTGTTTCCCAACCCAAAATTCTCAGCAACCGCTTGTCGCGCTGCCGCCGCGAGAACACCTGCCTGTCTCATGCCACCTCCAATACTCTTCCGGATTCGCTTCAGTCTGCGGATCAACTCGGATGGGCCCAACACCATGGCACCCATAGGAGCACCGAGGTTTTTGCTAAAATCGAGCGTCAAGACGTCACAGCACTTTCCAAAGTCGTCCAACGCGCCCGCACCTGCTGATACAGCCTCCCAGAGACGAGCTCCATCCATGTGGATGGCAACACCATGCGTCGAAGCCCATGCCTTGATTTTCTGTAACTCTGCCAGGGGTATAACCACCCCGGAACTGGTATTCTCGATGCTGACGACCTGCGTGGGGCATTTGTGTACATCATCCGTCAGGACAGCATGCTTCTTGACGTCCTCGAGGGTAAGGTAAAGACCATTCAGCGGACGAATCCCTTGAACCGTCGCACCCGACAAGTGCGCTACGCCACCGGCCTCCCAATGTATGATGTGCGCGCTGGCGTCGGCGAGGACGGCATGCGGCGGTTGGTGCAGGAGTGAGCGGATGGCAAGCTGGTTCGCCATGGTGCCCGAGAGGACGAAAGCGGCGCTTTCGTGGCCACACGTCTTGGCCATTTCTTCCTCGAAGTTTCTCGTTGTTGAATCCTCGCCGTAGATATCGTCGTGGAGGGTCGTGCGAGCGATGGCCAAGAGCATGCCTTGGGATGGAGTCGTGACCACGTCGCCTACAATGACAGCGTAAGAACCAGGTCAAATCCCCCCTCCCCGGCTGGACTCCGGCTGGGACTTACTTCGGAAATCGAAGGCCGCGCCTGTTTGCGCGGGCGAGCCCCAGAGCACTGGGGTTTCCTCATCGCTCGGCATGGCTTTGGGCCTAGACTTGAAATGCTCTCGCAGACGTACGATTCTGGACGACAGATACAACAACTGAACCAGGGGCTAGTCGACAAGTCGATACTGCATATCTCGAGTTTACGGTCACAGTTGAGATCGGCCTCCCTTCTTTGAGGGTCAAACTAGGTAGATAAACTACTCAATCATTCGCGATGTCCGGCTCAGGTCGGGTTGTTTATCACACCGCCGTCAGCACATAACACAGGCAGACTTACAATAATCTCAACACCGATCACCTCCCTCGTTCAGTGACCTATCAACTCGCCAACAAACACAGCTTAGCTGAATAATCCCCCAGGAATACAGGGGGAGGCTTACCTCCCGAAAAGGCTCAATTCGCGAGATAGATCTACCCAAAAAGGCGCTGTCACGCTAGCCTCCAGGCTCGGACTCGACTCTGGCCTGGTCCGTGTAGATCGCAAGAACGGCCAGGAGGTTGTGGCCCGATTGGACGGCAGACCCAGCGGCCAGCATCCTAAGTGCTTATGGCAGATGTAACCATCAAAGGTCTCACATGCAGCATGCAATCCTTTCAATAGCCTCCAAAAAAGAATGGACAATGGGCAAGAGGCGCGAGAAGGCTCGAGTCCAGTGCTGGTATCTCGAAGGGTTGCCATACTCTAGATCCGAGGCGGTTTCTGTTTTCTAAGCGAGCTGGAAAGTTGGATTCTGGTTTAGGACGGTACATGCGAGTGAGATGCCTGTCTAGAGTGAATGGTGTTCCCTGGGTGTGGTATCGTCAGTACCTAGCTGATGTAAAAGGACCTCTCATAAATCCGCGTAGGGCATTGATATCCTTCTGCAAAAGCCAGCATCTATATTCTTCTCTGATCGACTTCTCGTGCTCGTTTAACTCTTCGTCGCTATCTGATGCCATCCGGGTCTCCTTTCGAACCGTCCACCGAGTACGATGGCCATCGTCGAGACCTCCAGCTCTGAAGAGCTCGTTGTCGAGAAGAGCAAGCTTGCCGTCCGGGAAACCGACGAATCCGCCATTTTAGCACACTACGGTGTCGAGAGACAAACCGATGGGCTCATCAATTGGAAACGAGACTGCAAGACGCATCCCCGGAATTGGAATCTCTCCAGAAAGGCGTTCGACACCGTAATCATTATCTTCTTTGAATTCTACACGTAAGGCTGCCCGTTGGTATATGCACCGCAGGATAGCCCGAACTAACATCGGTCAGCACCGTCATAAGCACAACAGGAGTATGTCACGTCCAAATCTTACCCCGTCATAAGCAGAAGCGGCCCGCAGATCGGCAGGACCCGACGGCGTAGCCATTTGCCTTGAGGCAGAATCTTCCGCTATATTCTTAATTCTCTGCACTGGAGCGCGATGTTTTCATTCCCAAGAGCCAGCGGATTCGAAGCGGGATAATAATCCAATTAGAGACATGCTAAACTTATTCCTGCACAGGCCGTGGCGGCTGCTGAAGCTGGGCCAGAGTATGAACTCAGTCGCCAAGCATCATTGGTTGGCTTCACCCTCATGTAAGTCCGAGAGGCCTCGTGCGGCGTGCTCGTAAACTCATGAGAAACAGGTATCAGCTTGGCCAAGCCGTCGCAGGCTTCTTGATACCTCCATTCTCGGAGCTCTACGGCCGCCGGATCCCCTACCTCGTATCCTGCGCCGTATTCTGCTTTTCCTGCCTCCTCACGGGCGTATCGCGTTCATCCTCGGCGGTCTACATCGGCCGCTTCGTCGCAGGTCTCGCATCCGCTGTCCCATCCGTGGTCATCGCCGGCAGCGTGGAAGACATGTTCAACACCAAGCGCCGGGTCTGGATCATCGTCCTGTGGAACGCCGGGGCCGTGATCGGGTTGTGCATGGGGCCCGTCTACGCCGCTTACATCTCAGACGCCCTCGGCTGGCGGTGGATCTTCAACAGCGCGGCCATCGTCACCGGAGCTCTGTCCCTTGCTCTCTTCGGGATCAGGGAGTGCAGGCCCAGCCTGTTGCTAGGCCGCATCATCCGGGATATTGGAAGAGAGACGGAGGTCCAGGAATTGAGCTGGCACAACCCGGACGAGGCGCCCGACTGGAGAGCTCTGGTGCAGATCAGCGTCGTCAGGCCGGGGAGGATATTGCTCACTGAGCCCCTGGTCATCATGGTCGCCCTCATCTCGGCGTCGTCCTGGAGCATGATCTATCTGTTCACGGAGGCGCTCACAATAGTCTACGTTTCACTCGGCTTCACCAAGACGCAAGCCTCGCTGCCATTCCTGGCCATCGCCGTGGGGGTTCTCTTCACCTTCCTGCCTCGCCTTTGGGATATGAAGGTCGTTCGGGACTGTCAGCGCAAGCAAGTCCCCGTCCAACCGTAAGATTTTGCATCAATCTGAGTCAGGCACGAGGGGGAAAACAAGCTGACTGTTTCGTCCAGGGAAGACAAGATCATGGGCTTCGCCTTCGCAGCACCCGCCCAGGCCATCGGACTGGCATGGTTCGCGTGGACCATCCCGCCTCTCGTCGGAGGCGTCCACTGGATCGTGCCCACGATGTCACTTGTTCTCGTCGGATTCGCCGCCAACGAGACGAGCCACACGCTGAGCGGGTACCTCGCGGATTCCTACCTGCTGTACTCGGCGTCGGCTTTCTCGGGGCTGGCTCTGGTGAGGGCGGTCGCCTCGGGTCTGATGCCGCTCGTGGCCCACGAGATGTACGGCGCATTGAATGCCAACTATGCCGGGACGGTTCTTGCGGGACTGGCGGCTGTGTTCTGCATAACGCCGTGGATCTTCTTCCGGTTCAGCAAGCGGTTGAGACAGAGGAGCCCCTTTGCGAGGTTCAGTCTCGAGACGCATTACAGAACGAACGTCGAGGCGAACTGAGCTTCCGGTGTAATTATGCAAAGGAGCATAAAGAGACAAAAAAGAAGTGACGGCATTTGGGAGAGTTGTAGTTTGGTTGCTTATTTAATCGGCCATGTGACTCTGGAGAAGCATTCGTCTTGCAAGTTTCAACAGGGTTGATAGCGGGAAATACAGCAGCTTATTCAGTGGGAACCAGTGGAGAAGTTTGTGAGCGTGGTGGTTGCTTTGTTGCTGCGACGAACATGTGTTTGTGTGTGATGTGATGGATGCTGTTTGCATTTCTTGCACTTTCAGCTGAATCCTGGATCCGCCTCATTTAGCGAGCTGGATCCTGCGAGGCCAAACATTTCGATGCAACACGCTGAGAGAAGCTGAGTCGCAAGAATTCAGGTTGCATCTATTGGCAGTGAGGAACGCTTTGGCGTAGTCCGGACCATGCCCTTTGTGCGACCTGACTAAGACTGGACGGCATCTCATCTCGGGCCAGTGTCGCATCTCGCATTCCCTTGTTTCTGAAGCGTCGCTCTCTCCGAGACATGCCTCAAACTCTCATTTCTTCTCTCCTCGATGCGCGCCTCGGGGGCTCCTTTGTTCAGACGGTCTTGCGCGCCAGCAAACATTCCCGACGGCCTTGTTGGTGTTTCCTCCTGTTTTCCCCCCTTGGGGTGCCTTAATAGGCAGGGCAGGGAGACGGCAGCGCATGAAAATGGCAAATTTAAGGCAAAATTAGCGGCCGCGGACGCTATTATGTACGGGTTTGTATGAACAAGACCGTTGTCAGACCACCCAGGCACGGGGCACCCCACAAGTCGGTGACAATCCGCGGACGTCATCATCCTCGTCGAGCCCCTTCTTCGCTCCCAATTTCCGCACCTTTTAGAGGGGGCCAGGCAAGGCGAGGCCCGGTTTTTCGAAGGATTCCCGACCAGCCTCCACAACGGGGTAACGCAACGGTCAGGTGGTGGTGTTTGTGTGTGCCTCTTGTAAAGCCTCCAACAACAGAGCACCACAAGACCGTAAGCCAGTGGTCCCCTTGACTGTCACATCAGGCATGCAGCGATTCACAGATTGGGACCTTCCCGCTCCGCTGACGCCGTCCACCGCTTTCGGCAATAGCAGTGGAGGGTGACATGCTGATCCCCGCTGCTACCCGGGCTTGAATACAGATGAGGCAGGCAGGTATCTGGTATGGATAGGCAGGTACCTGAGGCCTGGAGTGCATCGACAGGCGGCAGAGGTGAGACTGCAGAAGGGGCTGGTAGCGAATTAAAATGGTGGCATTTAGATGCAAGCAGGAACAAGCCTGAAATGTCAAAGCCCCGCGGCGATGGGAAAAAAACCAAAGGAAAAAAGGGAAAAAGAAAAAAGAAACCCAGAATACATGTTTGGGCTGAGTCGAGCAGGGCAAGAAGGTGCTAGCCCCTGCGCCTGCCGCGCCTACCCAATGACAAGGCCCGAAATTGAAGACCCAGCACCCAGCGCGGGTGGTGCCCAAGTATTTTGGCTTCCGCACGCCAATCCTCCCCTCTAAGCCGCCCATGTGAAGGGCGAAAAGTCACTCGCCGGCTGACTGGACCTGTCGTGGTTGGTTGGCTTCCGTGCGGGAACCACCTGTGGGCAGGTACCTGGTTACAGGGGAAGCGCCGCAGGACAGGGTACTTTGTCTGCAGTGGTGGCCTGTCCCGTCCCATTCTCCCCTCCAGACCCCAGGCTCGGGTAAGGAAAGGCCTGGACGGGCAGCATGGGCGGGCGGGCAAGGCGGGCTGAATTTTCTTGAATTTATCCCGCCAGGCCCTGTTTCGACTTTCCTCCTTTCCCTTTTCCTCCCTTCAACACCACCATTTTGGTGAAGACAACCATTTCCCACATTCACCACACTTACCCAGAAACCGACCGCCACCCAATGCATAATAAGAAAGATTCTTACGACAACTCCTGCTCATTCTTCCGCCGTCAGATGCGATATCCGAGCCACAAGAAGACCCAGCGAAACTACGAATCTGAGCCGCGCGCTGATCCCGAGCGACGACGAGGCACGCTCCTTGTGCTTCCCATTTAAACAACCCACGAAAGTGAAGACCACCGCCACTTTCGGGCGCGAGCGGAGAGCCCCCGCGCGCCCCTCGTTTACGGGCAATATTCACTACTACAAGGAGCGACCTCCATAAAAAACCCTCAAAACCACCGGAACCATGATTGCCAAGGCGACGCCCGCACTCAACACGGTGCGCGGCTTCCAAAACACCCCCGTCACCTCCGGCGACGAGGACGATGACTATGTTGTCGGCGCCGTCTGCGCTACTCCCCCTCTCTCCGTCAAGTCGAGGCGCCCCGCTCGCCCCGGCCGCATCGACGACGTCGTCAGCGCCAACTGCAGCCCCGTCATGCGCGGCGCCTCTTCCCCGGCCGTGTCCGGCATCGCCAAGCTCCGCATGCAGATGGAGCCCCTCAGCCTCGACACCTCCTCTCGCACAAGCACCATGAGCACCGTCGTTACTCGCAACGGCCACGGCGAGAACGGCTTGGGCATCCGCAGCGCTGCCATGAGCCGCACCGGAAGCAACGACGGGACCCAGAGTGAGGCCGGCAGCGAGCGCTCTGAGAGCGGCTCCACGAGCTATGAGATCAACTTGACGCACGACTATGTCGACGAGAGCGTGCGCGAGCGCACCGGCAACATCATTCCCATCGAGGGCGGCAACGCGCCTGCGCGCAAGATGACGGCTGGCGACTTTGAGCCTCTGCGCTGCCTGGGCAAGGGCACGTATGGAACTGTACTGTTGGTGAAGCAGCGCAACACCGGGCGTCTCTACGCCCAGAAGCAGTTCAAGAAGGCGTCCCTGACGGTGCACAAGAAGCTCATTGAACAGACCAAGACGGAGCGTCAGATCCTCGAGTCGGTCAACCGACACCCCTTTGTCGTCAACCTGTACTACGCCTTCCAGGACCATGAGAAGCTGTACTTGATCCTCGAGTACGGACAGGGCGGCGAGCTTTTCACGCACCTCAACATGGAAAAGATGTTCGCCGAACCCGTCGCGGCCTTCTACATGGCGGAGATGCTTCTGGCCATCTCCTACCTGCACAGCAGCCTTGGCGTTGTGTACCGCGACCTGAAGCCGGAGAACTGTCTGCTAGATGCCGAGGGTCATCTACTGCTCACCGATTTTGGTCTGTCCAAGGTTGCCGTCGACCCCTCCGAGGATCACTGCAACTCCATGCTTGGCACCGTGGAGTACATGGCCCCCGAGGTGATTAATGGGCAGAAGTACGGCAAGGCCGTCGACTGGTGGTCCTTTGGCGCGCTTGGCTTCGATCTGATGACGGGCAACCCGCCATTCCGCGGCGGAAACCACGCTAAGATCCAGCAGAACATTGTCAAGCAGAAGCTCGTCATGCCTTACTTCCTCAGCCCGGATGCGAAGGACCTCTTGACGCGCCTGCTCAAGAAGGACCCCAAGAAGCGCCTGGGCGCAAATATGCCCAAGGACCTCCAGATCATGAAGGGCCACCGCTTCTTCCGCAAGATCGACTGGAAGAAGCTTGCCGCCAGAGAGGTCGAGCCCCCTATCCAGCCGTTGATCACCGACCCGGAGCTGGCCGAGAACTTTGCGCCCGAGTTCACCGACCTATCGCTGAGCCCTGTGGTAACCTCCAAAGACCACTGGAGCGCGTTGTCAGGTAAGGAGGACGACCCGTTCGGAGGCTTCAGCTACGTCGCGTCGAGCAGCCTGCTAGAGAGTCACGCTTTTAGATTCACCACAGAGGTCTAGAGAGAGACACAGAGACCTAGACAAGATGGGCAGCACAGAGCAATGGCTTTTTTTCTTTTGGTGCGAGAATACACTTGCGCGCAGTGTTAGGATGGGAAAAGTTTGAGCAGACAACCGCGGCACAGACCGGTCAGCGTGGAATTATTTGAGACGACGCCCCCCTTTTGATTCAAACGCAGAGCCCCGGACCTTACAACCCGATTCGGCGGTGTGTATAATTTGAGGAAGGGGGTGTCTTTCGTCGAGAGCATCCAAAGACGTTTAAACTCGGGGGATAGTCCGTCTAATCACGGGCGTTAGATCAGTTGTTTTTCAGTTCAGTATCGTCATGGGAAATATATACGAGCTTTTGACTTTTCTTATGGTGAAAACCAGGCTTTTCCTCATGCGCAAAATTGTTAAAGTCCTCCGTTGCTTCCATGGCCCCAAACACCCCTTTTCTTGTGGGCGATCCGTAGGTTCCATGACCCCGATGCTGGCCAGGGGCTTCATTCAGGGCAGATCTGATGTCGACGAGGAGGAGGAGTCTCTCCATCAACCGTCGGCTCCGGAAAACGGGCCAGCGAAGCGGCGGTCTTGCATAAGAAACGCATCTGGCCCAACTCTGTTCATCCTTCAACGCCATCTTTGTCACCAAGCCACGACTGACTGGACGTGAATCCGAACGGCCCTTTTGTCTGAGAGAAACCGCGGCTCACGGCATCCGCGGTCAGATTCCTCTCCCCCAGAGGACTTTGGTGCCGGATGATGACTTACCGTGCCGGCGGACCATCATCATCGTCGTCGTCGTCGTTTTCGGGGGGGCTGTCTCGGTGAGCTCACCTTCCTCCCCCTTCGGTGTTCCGGTAGGCTTACGGCGTCAGCTCGTCTTTGACAAGTCCGGATTCTGCTGGGCTGACGACTCTGACGACTAACAGAGGCGAAGCTCCAGAAGCAGACAAAACGGCGGCGCAGGCGCACGTTCGTTTCGTTCGGGCATTTCGGATCTTTTCCGTCCGTACCTTACGCATGAGGAAGGATTTCTGGACTTTTTGTCCTCCTCCCTCTCCGACTTGTCAGATACTAGGAAGGGTCTTTCTCAATCTTAACCTTTTTCTTTCTTAATTTTCCAGTTGGTCTCGTGTTTCACGGGCTAGAGAAGTTATGCTTGATTATGCCTTGAGGTGACGATGCGTGTACACTTGTTGGTGACTTCGGATGCATAAGCAAAATTGGCCAAGAGAGAGAGGCCTGCGCGGCGCATAGTTCTCAGTGGTGCCTCGTCTCTTGTCTCGTGATGACAACTGTTTTTCAAAAGTTCCGGAAACAATTTGCATAGCTTGCTTACCAAAACGCTTTACTTTCCTGCCTGACAAGAACAGCTGGCAAATTGTGAGCTTGGCGTTCATTTCCAGCACAGCGCACGGGGTATGTGCTGTGCTTCACGAATCAAGAGTAATCCAAGGGGTGTAGTTAGAAAGATCTTCCCTCTTGGGCAGCATCAAATAACCTTGGCCAAGCCCTGACCGGTTCGCAAGGCTCCTTTTTGGATCCGGTGAGCTGGTAACGGGGTGTGCGGTTCCTGTGACGGCTCCTGCGGCGGCGTCGTTGAACGCTGTCGTCGTGCCGGTGTGCTGTCAAGCATCCAAAGAAGAAGGAGCAAGATGGAGGATGCGGAGAAACGGGAAATGCGGACCCCGGCAGCGTCTATTTGGCGGCGCCCATGTCCGAAGACCTGGGCTTGCCCTAGGATTCGGAACTGTTTTCGTTCCACTCGCGTGTAGTAGTTCCTAGGGCTTATTGGCGTTGCAAGGAAGCTTAAACGTCAAATTGAAAGCTGCTCAGCCTCCCCCAAGTCTCGGTTGGGGATGGACTAGACTGAATATCAACGACGGCGGCTGTGGAAGTGGATCAGCGCCGGGGTAACTCATGTTCGGCGCGGGACGACTGTTGCGCCTTGCCCAGCTAACAGCGTTACATCGGGACTGTTCACCCGACTCAAGCATCCCGGGGTCAGACGGCAGCGTGCAATCTCTTTTCGGCAAGGCAAAGTCCCCGCGCGGCCCCACTCCGGCCGCCGTGGCCGGATTGACACATCGAGATCATTAGCAATGAGTCGGTTGCCGTCAAGGGGGGAACTGAACAGAGCAAGAGATCGTCGGGAGCAATCAAGGTTTTCGTTGACGGCGCCGTGACAGGATGGCGGCTGGCACAGTGGCGGAGTCTCTCGTGAATGGCCGGGAGCACCCTCGGTAACTTTTGCCAATCGTTACGGACTGCCTCGAATGTGACTATGAGTGTTTGGAGTTAACCATTCAACTGGCATCATCTGACGTACGACGAGCATCAGCCATCCCGCTGTGGTATCGAACCTTGAGGCTTAGAATTTTGGGACGATCCCCGAGGGAAACTCGCAGCGAGTAGCCATCAGAACAGAGTCTTGAACCAACTCTATAGGGCTTGGCGGGAGCATCGAGATGAAGCGTGTGTTGAAGATGATGCGCAGTATGTCAACTGAACGAAAGATTGCCAAGTGCATAGAGGCGTAGAAGAACATTGGATCCCTCCCTCAGCACGCCTCCAGGATAGGCCTGGGCGCTGGCATGCGGCCGTTGGAGGGGAAATCTTGGCGTCAAGGACAGCGCGGGGGGAACAACCCTGAGCCACTGATAGTGACGCAATTTCAAAGCTGCTTTCAGAAACTCATGTTGTTGAGGGTTCTTCTTGTCTTGGAGCTTCAATGTTTTGTGTGTTGTTTGCGCTCTGCTGGGAGATGCCTGAAGGCCCTGAACTTGTACGGCCCATCGGCAGAGCTTGGGCTTGCAGCTTTGACACGGCCCAGAGAAAAGTCAACCGGTATTCGCGTCCCTGGATCTGCGCGACAGAGCTTTGTCCTTTTGGACCTTGGCAGACTGGGCTAGGCAGCTTGCTAGAATCGGTCTTCTTATGCCAAAGATCCGTATAACCGGACTGTGCGAGTCTTGACCCAGGTCGAGATAGTGCTACTCAGAGACACAGACGATTATCCCAGTGGGCGTACGAATGCACATCGGATCGATATGCGTCATTACATTAGCCAAGAATGAGAAGACAACGGGCAAGTTCCTGCGCAACGTCAGACGAATAGCAAGGAAGACACTTGGTGGTGCCAATGTCCCGAGCACCTGCAGTGAGATGGTTTCATGTTTCTGATGGCGTCAAGAGCGCGCGGGAGAAGCTCAGGCGGAATCCCACCGATAGAGGCAATGAGCTTCCTGCCTCTGGGCAACCTTGTGGGAAGATGGAACAGGGTCTAGAAAGAAGAATGATGTGAAAGCTGGAGGGAAGGGAAAGCATTGCGCGGCCTGCGTTGGTGCTGATCGGCGCTTGTCCCATTGGTGCCGTGTTAGTTGGCGGTTTTGACAAATCGGGACGGGAGGACGGGTCGTTTGCTGGACGGTTTGATCGACGGACATTGCAGTTACCCAGATGTGGTGTGCACGTCCTGGCCGATATCAGAGAAGAATTTGACTGAGATGTCCAAGTATTCACACGTGGGTTGGCGTTGGGATGGTTGCATTCCTCGGTCAGCGGTCGAGGTGTTGACCGACGACGGGGTATCCGTCAGGTAGTAGTGATGGTGGTGGGAGCGCTCGAGGCACCATGTCAAGTCCCTCCTCAGGCGCACATCGAGGAGGGTCCTGAGTGAGGCCTCTTTGGAATGAAAATAGAATTGGCTTGAGGGGAAGGCTCTCCAGCCAATGCCGTGGACCAGAGTAAGCGGTGAATTCGGGCTGAGATGCAGCATCGTCGCAGGGGATGGTGAAGCAGTGCCGAAGCCTGCGGCTGCCGTCAGATAAGCCCCTTCTTGGCGACAACGTGCCTCGTCATCATCAGCAGTGGAAGCGCAAAATCCTTGAGGTGTAATACTTGGCGGTGGGCGATAGGCGCCGCGATGGACTCTCGCCGTCTGCCGTGTGCAAGAGACCTCACGAGAAGCGTGAAGCTTTGCACTGCATTTCTGGGCAGTCGCTCTGCCGGTTCAGAGATGTTAGGGATGAGAGGTGTAGATGGTTCGGGTGTAAGCGGTTGCTTTGATGCGCCAGCAGTTCGGGAGATGTTGCGGGAAGGACAGCCAGCCCAGCAGCAGTAGCACCGGGATCCTGATGGTGGTACCATCCGGCTTGTGGGCAGCAGCGTCCGTGTCCATCATCAGCTCAATGCAGGTGCAAGCCCCTGTGCCATGCTCCAAGTTCTGTGTCTCATGCGATATGTTCCTGCTCCTGCTCCCGCTCCTGCTGGGTGAGGTGATGCTGGGCGAGTGACTGCCCAGTGTCAATGGACGGGCTCCCACAGCAGCGCATCAATGGCGATGGCATCCACTAGCCGCCCTACCCAGGTAGCACGGTAGGTACGAATAGGCGGCTTGTAGCCTGAGGTGCCGTTAGTGACCCGGAAGTGCGCTTATCACAGTGGCGGGAATGGCTGCTGCTGATCGGTACTCCGTTCACTACCTTCGCAGTGTGATGTTCTACGTTCCACATGTTTCGCTTCCTCTCGTTCGTCTAGACACTCCCACAAGCCCCCAAGCCAAGCATTCATCATGGAATGCTTGCGTACGCTTCTCTCTGTCCGCCTTTCATTGCTTCGTGTAGTGCTGTCCGATATCTCCAAAACAAATGTTTCTGACCAAGGCTTACGGCAGCAGAGACCCCAGACCGCCCGCAACGGCACCTTTTTACCTCCGGGAGGCTGAGTCTGAATGTCCAGCCCGCCAACTTCATTGGCTTCTTCACCCAGACTTTCGCTCGCTGGCATTGGTACTTTCCGCACTGGCATTGGCATCGCCAATTCAGCAAAGTACACAACCGCATATGCAGGGTATCGATGTCCATCACCACACGTCGTTTCGTTTCCAGTTTCTCTCTACTAAGCATCCCTTCGGCTTCTCTGGGCCCCTACTCTACCCTGCCCTACCACCACGCCCTCGCCGTGGTTCCTGTCCTCATTTCGTTAATAGAGTTCAGACCACTCTCCATGTAGACTACTAAGAACGCAAAAATCAGTCACTGCCCACGGTCCCAAAGAGGCCCCAGAACGTCGAGAAAAACGAGAGGTAGAAGCCCCTGCGAGCCCACTAGTCCCATCTGCGTAGAAATATGCTCTCTTGCCCTGGGATGCTCCCAGCCCCGGACCCTTCGTACCCATGCATCCACGCCCCAAACGGCATCCCTTCGTTTGCTCATGTTTCTTCACGTTGTTGGCTGTTGCCTCTGCGGCGCGCATCGCATTTGAACATTCGGATGATGCTGAGAGGATGAGTGTTCCTCCGTCATGCTGATTGATGGCTGGGACTGAAGCAGCAGCAGCAGTGAGGCCCGGCCAAGCCCTGGATATTCGTAGGCGCATTCCCAGAGCGCCGGCTTGTCCCAGGGCCCTTCCTCACTTCCATTTTAGCATCCGGGGCTTGTAAACCCTTCGCCCAATCACCTTTCTCCCGATTCTGTCTGACACGCTAGAAAGGGTAGCAGCCCAGATCCAACCTAAGACACTGCAAGGAGCCAAAATAACGACCAGGGGCACCACCACTGTCCACTGACCAGCGTGCCTGGTTAGTCTCTCCGCCCATTTTTTAGCCTTCGTTGGCCCCGGGGGAACGTGTTGGACCGACCGGGTCCGTCGACGCGGGTCGCTATCTCCCCATGCCCATGACCAGTCACTTTTCGCACATTGTAACGCTGCCTGTCTGTATGCCGCTGTGTACAGACGGGCAGATCACCGTCGGACTGAGCCTATGACAGCTTCTCGGCTTCGTGGCTGTGTCTAGCTAATGTATGCCGGCCTACGTATGCTCATCTCTAGCCTTCTCCGAGAGCTGTTGCTGCTCACTGCTGCTGCCCTGGACGGTTGAAAGCTTGTCGTACAAGCTGTCCGCGGCTACCAAAGCTAGCTTCCGGCCTACTCAGCACTCACCAATTGCCAATCCGATAGAGCCTGGCGGTCCCAGCCCAGCCCAGCCCAGCCCAGCTATCTTATGCGTGGGTTACAGGTCCTCCAGGGGTCATCCCCTGCGTGGCTTGACTGTCAGAGAAACAGAGAGAGTTGGCCCGCTGCCCGCACTCCCCCAAGCCAAGATTCGAGTGTGAGGCGGAAGGGGGGGAGAGACAAGAAGAACTGGGAGGGTAGCCAGGGACCGGGGCCCGACTCCCGGGGCGAGACACGAAGGGCACAGGAAAAGAGATGACTTTGTGCTAGTGTATCGAAGTCGATGCCCATCTCTCTCTCCTCTCCTCCCAGCGCCAAGATTCCTGGGATGACGACGTGGGGAGCAACAAGCAGGTGCCATTAAACCCAAAATCCCATGGCAAAACGGTTGGCAGAAACCAAGACAACGCGCCCAAAAGGCAAAGCCACCGCGGTTGAATCCCGTACCGCTGCGTCCTCCTCCTGCTAGCTGGCTAGCTACCCGACGCTTTGAACCTAGTACCGCACCGCACATCCTACTCTCAGCGTGCCACGGAGATGGGCTGCCGGCGCTCACCCGACATTTCTTCATAAGAACCCCGGAGCTCCCACCCCTTCACTACACTCCCCGTCTTCAGCTGCCGTGTTACTCCAACGACTAGCCCGGAGCCTCCCTGCATATCAACGCACAAAGACGTATGTCACACTTCGGCCTGCTCTCTCTGATATAACTAGCACCTCGTCGTCGTGGACCACCTCGAGCAGCCCACGACTAACATTGCGTTCAGTCATCTCTTGAACCACCTAGACGTGCAAGACATACATCATCATGAAGGCCTTTACTGCCTCCGCCCTGGCTGCGGCTCTCTGTAAGCTCCCCTACCCCGAAACTGCCCTCCTCGGCGACTAACACCCTCAGATGCGGCGACGGCGTCTGCCGACCCCGTCCAGGCGTGCCCCAACGACGTCTGCTTCAAGGTCGCGGTCCCCCAGGCCGCCGCCAGCTCTGGCTCCGGCAACCTGTATTTCCAGATGTCCGCCCCGACCAGCTACCAGTGGGTCGCCCTCGGCACCGGCTCGACCATGTCCAACTCCAACATGTTCGTCATGTACACCGACGGCGCCGGCAACGTGACCATCAGCCCCCGTACCGCGCGCGGCCATAACATGCCCACCGTCTCCGACAACGGCGCGGCCCTCACCCTCCTCGGGGGCTCTGGCGTCTCGAACGGCAAGATGGTCGCCAACGTCCTCTGCACCAACTGCGCGTCTTGGAGCGGCGGTTCCATGTCCCTCAACTCGGCCAGCACCAACTGGATCGCAGCCTGGAAGTCCGGCAGCGCCATCAACTCGGCCAGCAACAGCCAGAGCATCCAGCAGCACGACGACCACTCGAGCTTCACCCTCGACCTCACCTCGGCGACCGTCTCGTCCGACAGCAACCCGTTCGCCGGGGCCTCGACTGGCGGCAATGGAAGTGGCAGCGGAAGCAGCGGCGGCGGCTCTACCAGTGGTGGCAGCGGCGTTGTATTTAACGGTGGTGGTGGCAAGTCCGCCATCCTCCTCGCTCACGGCGTTATAATGTCGATCGTCTTTGTTGCCTTGTACCCTCTCGGCGCCATGCTCATGCCTCTGGTTGGCAAGTGGATGGCACACGCTGTCTGGCAGTCCGTCGCCTTCGCCCTGATGTGGGTTGGCTTCGGCACTGGTTATGCCTATGCCCGCGACAACGACTATGTGAGTTGCTTTTTCTTTTGTAAAACCCGGGAGACCGCGTCCCTTCCCATCCCGCGGACGGTCTCCCCTCCCGATGCTCCATCGTCGGGCCACTCATCCCATCCAAGCCCAGAACTGTAAGCTGATACGTGATGTCTCGTAGTTGTTCAATAACACCCACACCCTCCTTGGTACTGCTGTCACCGCACTGCTGGCCATTCAACCGTTCCTCGGCTACGCCCACCACGCCTACTACAAGAAGTTCCAGGGCCGCGGCATCATCAGCCACGTCCACATCTGGTACGGCAGAGCCCTGATGATCCTCGGCATCATCAACGGCGGCCTCGGTCTCCAGCTCGCCAACACGCCCACCCGATATGTCGTCGCCTACTCGGTCCCCGCAGCCATCCTGGGCGTCATGTGGCTCGGCGCCGGAGTCTGGGGCGAGATGCGCAGGACTCCTCGCATGAAGCAGGAGCACAGCCACGAGTCGTCCGAGTCGCAGCAGCGCATCCCCTACCGCCAAAAGAAATAGAGACCGGGCGACGTTGACCGGAACCCGCAGACAACAGAGAAACAGAGACGGACACAGTGATTATTCTCTTGTTACAACATGTTGGTATTTGGGGTATGGCTGTATCGAGATACGCTTGTATCTCTTTAGATAATACCTATTGAGGCCCAAACCGCAACTAACGCAGCTTGTGGTTACTGGGTTTGATGTGTAGCTTGGAGTTTGACGGCGTTAGGTAGCGAGCCAGTCCCCCGATGATGACGGGGGCGGCTATGAATTCATGATCACTTGATCTTTCACTACACTTCACTAAACGTACTAAACGTCGACCAGCTATACGTGACTGGATGCAAGCAAACAAGCGTAGAAGGCATATGTGAAGCGCCAAGATCGGTTGACATGGGAAATCAGATGAAGAAGGTGGGATGATGACGACAAAAGCCAACGTCTGTGAGGTGTGAGGTCATGATGTAAGTGAAAAGACGATGAAGAAGGTCTCGGCACACTAGCCGGATCGCATGGAGCCTAGGCCGGGGAGATGGACCCAAACGTTGGTGTCGCGGGGGGCAGCCACGGAGACTATGATGTCGGTGGACTGACGAAACCGTTTGCCAGCTTGCGAAGAAGCTGCCTGGCCAAAAAAAGTACGTCGTCAAGCGCTTGCTATCCTACGGGATCTAGAACCCAGCTGCTGCTGCAGGTAAAGCAGCTTTGCTGCATGAATTGGCGGTGGGAATCGCATCACGTGATAGCAGTCCACCGCCCACCATTCTTGCTCCTCGTTTCCCCGAGCCGCCAGTGCAGGTGGAGAGAGAGGTGCTCCTTCCACCGAGCGGGCGGGAAAGAAAGACAGCGAAAAAAGCGGCCTGAGGCACCCACAAAGCCCAACCACAGCGGTGATCACTGCGTCGTCCCACCGGCTGGCCGCTGGCTCGTTCACTCTCCAGCTTTTTACGTCCCGACCGTACAAAACCCTCAACCACCTCTGCCGTCCTCACCCCCCATCCGCCCCCCGGTGTCGTTCTCCTCCCCCAATTGAGCCAGCCACACCCACATTCAAGATGCTCGTCCAATTGTCCAGAGCTACCGTGAGTCTTTGCCTCTGTCCCTCGTTGATGATGTTGTTTTGCTGTCGCCCCAAGGAGGGGTGGTGTTGTCGCGGTCGCGCGGTCGGAAGGAAGTGGGAAGAGAAAAAACTGACGAGGATGACCAGCGCGCCGTTTCGGCTGTCACTCGGCTGGCGAGGCCCAGCGCCGTCCAGATGAGGGGATTCATTGCCCCCACGGTCTCGCGGAGAGGTTCGTAAATCCCTTTTCCGATTTTTCCTGTCCTTCGTCTTGTCGCAATTGCCCCGGGGAGATGCGGGACGATGGTTCGTTGCGGTTCTGGTCGGATTGCCGATGCGGCCAAGGGAGACCAAAGCTCCGAAGCTGAGTGGTCTGCGAGTGACGATATCGGTTATCGACTATCAATCAACAACATCGAAATCTGTCACTATCCCACATCGAATCCAGTAGCGAAGGACGATGCCTTCATTGCACAATATCACCCATTACCGACCTCCCCGTCGTCGCCCTCTTCAACCACACTTGCACCCCGCCTTTGTCGTCGTCGATCACGCCTCGCTAACCCCGATACAGCCGACTTCGTCCAGGAGCTCTACCTCAAGGAGCTCAAGGCCTACAAGCCTGCCGCCGTCAAGGACTCCGACGCCCAGGGCCAGGTCCAGACCTTCTCCGTCCCCCAGACCCCCAAGTCCCCCGAGGAGACCGACCTCGCCGCCAGCCTGAAGGAGTACGAGAGCATGGCCGTCGAGGTTGAGGGCCAGGACGCCGCCGTCGCCGCTGGCGGCCAGCCCGTCCAGCACGACTGGCTCATGATCGAGGAGGACGAGGAGGAGCCTCACCACTAGATGTTGTCGTTTAAACGAATAAAACCAACCCTCGATCCGATATAAAAGGGGACCATCAAACTTTTTTACGTCCACCCCAACGATAAAATTTATACGTCAACCGACCCGAAAGACTTTCCTCGTCTTCTTTTTATCTATCTTCCCCCGATGAACAAGAAAAAGTGCTTTTCTCTGCGACTCGAAGAAGGCTTGGATTGTCTTTCACCTGCCGCTTGCCGACGGACCGATGGAACGGGGAGAGCGTTGCTATGTTTTGAAACGAGAGAAAGAGAGGAGTGAGACAGCGTTATGAAACGAAGAGGAGAGGAGAGGAAGGGGAAAACGAAGGGAAGGTGTGCTGGGAGGTGGTAATCCCGTGTATATTGTCCAACTGAACCTCGCTGGCTAGGAAATGCTATCAGCATACACTCATTTGCTTCTGTCCACGTCATACATGGCGCTGGTATTCTTCTATGCTATCTGCCCAAGTCCTTGCCCCCGATATCTTTGCATCGTTGGAGTTGACTGTCTGCCTCAAGACTGCCTCGAATTGCGTCTTGAGCACTTCACCCAGACATCAAAACACACCGGAGGGCATGTGGACCCGGAATCTTCCGGAACATCGTAGACAAGACAGTCGACACCCACAAACACCGACAGCTCGACCACCATGGAATAAGCCCAAACATCGGGGGCATACGACAACCCTCGAATGTGTGCATAATCAGTCGTCGTCTTGCGAAGAGTCATTCTGAAGTGTACCGTCAATGCAAACACACCCATCTAGCAACGAAAACAACAAACACAACCAACGCTATCTATCGCTACGGATCCACAATCAACTTGTTTACTTCAATGCGTTGTTAACCTGAATCGTTTCCCGAGTTCCTGCACTATTTCCCGATGTCGTTTCGCAAAGCATAAAAGCCTCACGTCCTTCCTGGGAAGTTGGCACTGAATCAGCTTTGAAGTAGAAGTAGCACCTCATCCACGGCTTGCTTCAAGCAACGTTCTCGCTCTACTGCTCCGTGGGATCATGGAAATGCTCATCAGTTCTTCGCCTTCATCCAATCGATTTTACAAGTTACCGATTTCCAGCGAACACAAAGCAGTAGGGAAACGGTTCTTCTGTCTTTTTAAGCTAATTAAGTTCATTACAGACAGACGGCGCTTTCGTATTGCTTCCTTCCCCGTTTCCCAGTCTCTCTTTTCTCTTTCTCTTCCTCTGTTTCTTTTGTTGAGATTGTGTCTGTTGCACATCTCTCTCGAGTCTTCTCGGAGTCAAAGCAGCAAAGAAACGCAGACTTCCCAGGTGGAATACGCAGCAGAGCCATGTAGGTTTGGCTCCCAAATTTCTTTCGCCCACTTCTTCCTCCATCAAACCCCCCGACTGCCACAAGAGAAACCGCCTCGTTGTGTATTTTCGTTGAATTCCCTCGGGGAGAGCTCTGGAATGAACCTCAAAACATGCATGCTTGAAAGAGCAAGACGTCATGGAATGGAAGGGCGATTCAGAAACATTGCCAATGAAGAAAATAGTTCACCAATGTTTGAAAAACTGCCCCAGGTATCCAGAGTCTCAAGAAGCATAGTGTGTATAGGCGCTTCAATCAGCTTGGAAAACAGCATTCTGAAGGCCGATCCAGGTTCTCCCTCCCCCGCCAATATTCATCGCTCTGCCCAAAACGCCATGTACCGAATACACCCTTAATTATCACATGCAAAGTTGACCGCCCTTATGCACTGAATCCATGAATGTTCGTTTTTGACTTCGTGATGACGACCGTATGTGTGTGTGTGCCCGCGCGCGCGCATTTGTTTGCAAAGGAAACAGGCTGTGTGATGAACTTTTTCTCGTCCTCAAAATAGAACCAAAAAGACGGAACGGCTGACCAAAGCAACAACACCCTTAGACGTCAAAGTGGCCACCTCCAACCATTTGCTCGTCGTTGGTGGTTGTCCGGACAATGCCACTCATCCGGTTGCCTCTTTGGTTCATGTCTTCCAGGTCGTCCCAGTCGTCATCCTGGTGGTGCGAGTCGCGCATCTCTTCGTCATCGTATCGGTTCTTATCTCGCATGTGATCGTCAAGGGCGCTCTCGTCAACAAAGGTGAAGCCCTGGAAGTTGGCCTGCACAGATGGAGAAAGGGGCGTGGATGTGGCAAAGCCCCTTGAAAGGGCTGCTGCCCGCTCATTCAGAGAGCCGTTGTTGTCCAGTGCATTGGTGAACTCAGGGTCGAAGTAGGACACGTCGGTAGCAGAGGTCAATTTCGGCTTGAATGGCGGGGTGATGAGCTTCTTAGCTAGGAGCTCCCAGTCAATGTCGCCAAAGAATGGGTGGCGCTTCAGCTCTTCAGCATCATCCGTGGCACCCAGGCGGTGCTTGGGGTTTCTGTTGAGCAGCCCCTTGACGAAGTTGCGACCCTCCTGCGACAGAGTGTCCCTTGGGAAGCGGACCTTGCCGAATGCGATGTTCTTATACATCTGCTGGGTGTCCTCCGCGTAGAAGGGGCTCCATCCACAGCACATCTCGAAAACAAGAACACCCAGAGACCAAAAGTCGACCATCTTGGTGTATCCTGACTCGTCGAGGAGCACTTCAGGGGCGAGGTACTCCGTCGTGCCGCAAAACGTGTTGGTGGTGTCGTTCTTGGTCAGATTCGCCTTGGATAGACCGAAATCACAGAGGGCAATGTGGCCGTTGGCGTCCAAGAGAATGTTCTCCGGCTTCAAGTCTCGGTAGACGATGTCGTTGTTGTGCAAGTGCTGGATGGCCAAGATAAGTTCTGCGATATAGAACTTGGCTCTTCGCTCATCGAACCTGCCCTCCTTTTGCAAGTGCCAGAACAACTCTCCTCCGGACATGTAGTCGGTCACCAGGTATAGATCCGATGGTGTTTGGAAGGAGAATTTCAGACCCACGATGAAGGGTGAGTCTGACATGGCCGTCCGGACCAAAATGTTACGTTCGCCGACGGTATGGGCCACTTCTTTCTTCTGGACGATAACCTTCTTGGACAGGACCTTCATGGCGTAGATCCGTTCGGTATCCTTCTTGCGGACTTGGTAGACCTGCCCAAACGTTCCCTTTCCGATGAGCTTGAGAATCTGAAAGTCCTCAGGTCCGAAATGCTTCCTCTCCGTGCGGTGGTAGATGGCTTCAACATGGATTTCACCCGTCGGAGCGTTCTCGGCCATCGTGTCGGCGTGTCCCTTGAGCGCGTACCACCCACGAACCGGGTTATTAGAGTCCCTGTTCGCCTGGAAGTCGACATGACCAAGGAATTCCTCGCCATTCGCGCTGTGATCATAGACCGAAATATCCACCAGCATGTTGGAGTCGACAACGTCACTAGCTTGGGTTAGTCCTGGGATGATGGAAAGATTGTGATGCCAACTTACAATTCTGCTTCGGCGTCCCACTTGGGGCTAGTGAAGAAAAGCTTGGACTTGTTGCGGAATGTGTTGTAATCGGAAATGCTGGTGTTGCTGCTTTGTCGGCTACGCATGGGGATGGACATCGCCGGCCGTCCAGAGTCGCTTCCTTGCCTCTGGATCGGAATACCTCCCATGGACGGCGGCGGCAGGTTCACATGCTCCTCTTCCTCCTCAACAGAACGCGGACCTCCTGAGATAAGCTCGCTTCTCTGGAAGACAGCGACCACGTAAGGGTCTCTGGCACGCCTCAAGCCCTTCGCCTCAATAATCTTGATCGTGAGCTTTCCCTTCGCTGCAGGCACTTGAGCACCGGTTGAACCTCTGGGCGTTTGTGTACCACTAGGAGGAACCGTCTCATTACTGCTTCTTTTAGAGCTCGACCGCTCCTCAGAAGGCTGAGCAGCTGAAAGGGCTCGAGTGGGGGTTGGTGGTCCGCTCTTTATACCCGCGACTTGTGTTAGCTTCTTGAGCTGATCAAGTGAGGAAGAGTTGTCAAGGAAAGAGGTTTCCTGCGCTGAACCGATCTGGGAATGTGTGGGAGACATTGGTGTGATGTTGGGTTTGGGGAGACTGGGATTGGATATGTGATGAGCATGCACTACTGATGTAGTGACCATGCTTGAGGGTTGCGACATGAGGGTGAGGCTGCGGCACTTGGTCGATGAGAAGTCTGATGGGTGTTTTTGGAGCAACGGTCGCGCAGATGAGGATGCAGCGGACCGTCCGTCCCCGTGCCACAATGACAGACTTCTCGTGGGACGTCCCATGGACGACCTTCGTGATATCGGCGGAGTCGGGTACTGATGAGTTCCCGGCAATGCCTGTGCCTTGGATGCAGTGTGTTGTGACGGAGCTCGCGGCGCGGGACGGGGGAGTGATGATGACGGGGATATTTGTTCAGAATCGCCACAGGGCACAGCAACCACTGAGCTGACCTGAGAGGCCGTCCCTTCCTTCTCGACTTGTTCGGTTGAGGGACCGGAAAGAGACTGCCCTCGCATAGAATCCGACGCGACAGGGGCAGATACAGAATTGTGAATAGAATCTGTACGAACCTGGCCGAAGTAGCTCATGATGCCCGGCAGGCGTTTGTCATGGAGGTCGGGCTGAGGAGTCGCCACACCGGAGCGGGGCGTGTCAAAGCCGATTTGATCCGCTCCATCATCGTCAGCCGGAGCGGCAGCCCTGTTTCGGTGGTCAACAGTGAGGTTCATCATCGTTGGCGTTGGCATGAGCGCAAAAGCATGCAATCTGCGTTGCGGATATAACACAACAGAGAAGAGACGAGCGCGCTGGGTAACGGAGCGAAAAGCGGAGGCAAATTTGGAGGACGGAGCTAGCTCATGACGGCTGCCAAGCCCATGTCCGGTCTGGTGGGGACAAGTGCAGTGTTGGAGACAGGTACTCGGAAGTAATGGTAACGAAGCGGAGAATAAGAGAGGTTTTTGGACATGTATTGCTTATGACGGAAAAGGACGGGGAAATTTTTTCGACCTTTTCGGCGCGGGTGGCCGCAAGGATGCCGTCGCAATACCTACCCGGGTAGTGCGATTTGAGGGGGATGATGCAAAGGACCAAACGA